CTCCCAGGAAATGGTTAATCTACTCTCTCCACACTGTCTCTGCTTATAATCAGGGGTGGAACCATCATTTTCTTTCCCTGAAGTCGATGATTTGTTCCTTAGTCTTTGAGGTGTTGAGGAGCAGATTGTTCCCTCTGCATCAAGCAGTCACTTGTTCCACCTCGTCCCTGTAGGCGAATTCATCCCCACCACTGTGGTGTCATCCGCAAATTTGACTATGGTGTTGCTGTGGTGAGCAGGGGTGCAGTTGTGTGTGTGTGTAGAGGTAAAAGAGTAAGGGGCTCAGTACACAGCCCTGTGGAGCTCCCGTGCTGAGGCTGAGGGCCATGGATGTGTGATGGCCCATTTGAACCCTCTGACTGCGGTCGGCCAGGAAATTTTCCCCTGTGCATGTGGAGTGTGGAAGTCCCAGTTCCCCCAGTTTGTCCACCAATTTGTTGGGGAGGAAGATGTTGAAAACAGAGCTGTACTCTACGAAGAGCATCCGCACACAGCTCTCTCTTTCCTCCAGGTGGGACATAGAAACATGGAGGACTGTACCTACGGCATCCTCAGTTGATCTTTTAGCTATGTAGACAAGATGGGGGGGTCAAGGATTTGTGGGAGGAGTGAAGTGATGTGACTCCTGACCAGTTTTTCAAAAACACTTCATCAGAGCAACTGGCCCGACAAGAACAGAACAGGACAACTGAGCACCTCTGGGATGATGCTGGTTTCTGAGTCAATCATATAAATGTGATGAAGAAGAAAGTCTTGTTTTTTATGCTCCACCGCCATATGTGAAGGCAATAAGGTTTTTGCCCATTGTTTGCAGGTCTGCCTGTTAACAAAATATCTTATGAACTACTTGGCAGATTTTAAGAAAACTATCTGAAATGTATCAGTGTATATACAACTCCAAACAACTTGAGCTAACACAAAAGAGGCTCCAACTCTGTTAATTTTACAGACGTTAAGCTAAAATTTGATGCAGTTGTTGCTGAGCATTATCCCAAAAACATACTCTGAGTGCTAATGTGCTAATGTTAAAAATCTAAGTTTAAAAGATCATGACAATTTATTAACACATGTAAATGTGTGTGAAGTTTGTGAACATCAGAAAGTGTTTTTTTTATTTTTTTTTACCTGACCATCATTAAGTGAACTCTGATAGAAATATTACATTAATGTCCTCTCAGGCAAATCACTTTATATTTAGACATTTTGTGCTTTTCTTTTATTTAACAACATAAACTTTAATAAACGGTTGCTCGTTGTTTATTTTTGCACATAGTTATCTCATTGCACTTCTATATTTTAGGATAAACTAACTGTTCATTCCTAACTGCATTGTTTTTCTTTTTTATTGTTAGTTTTTAATGTGTGTACCGTGTGTGCCGCAACACTCAGGAACGAATAAAATGTTTTTATATTCTTGTTTATACGAAATTTCATGAAATAAAATGAACAAGTAACCAATTACGAGATTCTACAAACAATGAAAAGAGTTAAACTATATAAAAAAGCATAAAGTAGTAAAATGTGGATACAACAAATTTGAGTAAACCGATTGCTAACAGCTAGAATTAACAAATGAGTTTTAATTTGTAGTGAATTAGCAATCATACAGTAAGAAGTCTTGAAGTTTTGCTTTATGTCAAACATTTTCAAGTGAAGCGTTGAAAGTTCACAGCTTTTGTGGTTTTAGAACATTCACTGTTCTTCAACACCACTAAAAAAACTACATTCTTGCATTCAGGCTAAAGTATTTATTTTTTGTTTGAATTCTTTTACATGGATGTAAGATTTGTAACACACACTCTAAAATGCACAGAAAAAGGCAGGTAATCCTCAAACTAAAAACATCATTAACAAACGTTCTCAGCTCCTGTGACGGTCCTGCTCAGATTAACTACAGAATGGGATGTTCCTTCAGTGAAAACAAACAGAAGATTAAGAAATTTATCACTGTGATATCAGAGAACAAGTAACTTTAAAATAGGACACTTTGTTGTCAATTAAAATAGCCAAAGTGATAAAAAAGAAACACTTCAATGACATCCAGTCTTCTTTTTACTGCTGTTTATTTTTAGTTTTCCCACTAAGACCTTCGGCTCCTCTGCTTAAGACTTTTCATCCATCTTTCTTTAATTACGTTCAGCACATTCAGCCGTCAGCTCAGGTTCAGCAACTCAATAAAACATGAAGCTTTTATTTCTGTTCCCTCCAAAACCAACAAGCTCATGAGGGTTTCTGCTCTGAATTTTACCTCGGTCTGGTGGTTAGTCATCATGCCAAAGGTAAATCAGCATTTGATGACTCTGACTTCACGCCATAATTTCTGTTACACATCACATTGATTTGAATCCAGTGGGACACTGAGAACACCAGAAGTTCATGAAATGTTGTCTTGCTGGTCCATCAGAACCAGCAGGGCTGTGGTAACTTGGTGGTCAGTGCCACAGTCTTGTAATCCAAAGGTTGTGGGTTTGAGTCCAGGTTGCATGAGGAACGGCATCAGGCATAGAACAATTGCCAAATCTTTGAATGTGAGTTTGCTCAATGGAGCAGCCAAAATAAATTTACTTTACCACCAAAGAAAAGAAAAAACGTTCCAAGAGCCATCATTATGATAAACAAAATTGCTGTAAAAGCTTAAATAGCTTTGATTTCATATTTGATGTAAATGACCAAACATCTAACACTAACTTGGAGCTAAGCACAAAATTCTGAGCTTCATAAAATACTTATCTAGACGGGCTCCTTTATTCTCACATGATCATTAGCTATCACACATATTTTCCAAACTGAGGCTTTTTGAAGGCTCCCTCTGACGAGGGCCCCTGGTAAACACTACACAATCTATAACTTTGCTAGGATAAACCTAATGCCTATAAAAAGACTGTACATATTCAGTTAGCAAAACCAATGAAAATTAAAGATGAAACTCCAGAAGATAAACATATCCAACCCTAAAATGTGTTAGACAATTGCTCTCGAACACCAGGATGTCAGGGGTAGCTCCGTGGTCAGTGCCACAGTCTTGTAACCCTGAGGTTGCATGTTTGAGCCCAGGTTGCATCAGGAAGGGCATCCAGTGTAAAACAAATGGTCAAATCTTTCATGGGAGTTTGCTCACTGTGGTGACCGGAGCAGCTGAAAGAAACTTACTTTGTTTACTACTACATAGCCTATGTACCTTTTTTTTAAAATAAATGGGGGGTGGGGGGGGGGGGGGGTGACTATCTTATACCATCAAAATCATATTACCGGTAACCCAAAATACAAATCTGACAGAGTCTTGTTTTTTTGTTTTCTCCTTTTTTAATTTTCAAACATGGGCCTGTTTTAATGTAAGCTGATTTCCTCTGTGGAAAAGAGGCATAATTACGAGAAACCATCACAAAATTATGACTTATCATCTTGACTTAGAGGGCTTTTTTTTTATTCAAAGTGGCAGTAATGGGGTTCTATAAATGTATATAATCAGTTGTTATTTTTTCTTGTTTCTTGATTAAATTACGCTTAATAGAAACTATAGCTCACAAATAAATATATTGAAACAAGTTGTAACAGATAACACATTAACTTCAATAATGGCTTTAAGAGTTCTAAAAAATGGAAACTATTAATACCTTAAAGGTTTCATAACTTGATAATAACATTTTGCATTTATAGGCCATAAGTTTTTATATATATATATATATCAGAAAACAATATGTTTGTGCTGCATCTGTGTATCAGTTAAGTAACTATGCCATGTTTGATATCTGTATCATTCTGTCTTGTCTGAGCTCCAGTTTGTTTTGCTGTTTGGCTCATCTAGTGCTAATCACAACGTCTATCTCAAGTTATGATTTCATAACACTTCCTGCAATACTTAACAAAGTGGGTCTAATGATGCTAGCATGGCTAACGATGTTAGCAAGCTACCTGATCAGCTTAATTTACATTACTTTAATTTATTTTTGCATTTTTGCCATCAGCCTTTAAAAGTAGGAATTAGTGTCACTAAAATTATTTGGGACTTACCGTAATTTCTGGACTATTGAGCGCACCTGAATATAAGCCGTGCCCAATAAATCAAAAATAAAAATAATTGAACATATATAGACCACAGTTGTCTATAAGCCGATGGTGTCCACATTGTGACATGAGATATTTACACAGAAAGATAAAAAAACAACAACTGTTAATTAAATATGTACGGGTAACATACACAAATACGTACAGTAAATGTTTTTTTTTCTCCGAACAGTGCCTGTAACATGGCTGGTTTAAAAAAATAAATACAGTAGCCTACCAGGAAGTCATTGATCGCTATCTTCAGTGTCTCCCACGACCTGTTTGGTCATTTCATTGGTCAGATTTATTATTTTAACCTTTACAGATAGTCTCATTGAGTAAGGAGGACCTACCCCCCAGGAGAAGCATGTATTAGGCAGCTATGTGAGCGCCCGGGTGTGACGAGGCTAAATGTTTTGGCTGTATGAAGCTCGTTAGCCCATCAAAAAAAAAAAAAAAAAATCCCTAAATTAGCCGCAGCATTGTATAAACCAGTGTTCAAAGTATGTGAAAAAAGTAGCGGCTTATAGTCCGTAACTTACGGTACTTGTCTTTTACACAATAATAACTTTTAACTTGAATTTTAATTAAAGCGTAATTTGACGAGTTAGCTTAACAGCTAACACTTGAATAGCCTTTATCCAAATCTTCTTCACTCTTCTCTGCTGTTCTAAAATTGATAAGGCATTATACATATTTAAAAAAAAATTAAATTAACTTTTAAGTTTCTGGAGGACATTTTATTTTTGAACTCTAAGAATGTTACAGTCAATTTTTTTGTGCACTTGCTGCTCATGAAAACTGGCTGCGTGTTGCTTCCAGACATTACAGCAGAGCATCTTCAGGACAACATGAGGGTGATAGACAGGCAGGTGAGTGGGCGGGGCTTGGGGAGGGACTACAGAGGCGACATACATTCTGTTTCTTCATAAAGCAGCCGGCACAGGTATGGACGTGACAAGAGGAGGAGAGCAACAATAAGGTGAGTTAATTTTTCAAACTAATAAACTGAAAAAGTTGATTCAAACTCAGACTTTTTGCTTTCAGACTAGTTGCGAAATTTCCAACCAGCTCAAAAGACCTGTGGAAGTTTGATTTATTAAGATGACATTTAAAAATAAGTTGTTTTTGGTAGCAGGTTTGAACTTTATTATACTTTAAAATGACACATGAAACAAGTTCTTAATTTGTTTAAAAAAATTATTGTTATTATTTTTGAACCACGCACAATCAGGTTAATTTAATTTGCTAATGTGTGTTCAAATTTAGAAATTTTAAAAGAAATAGAAAGTGTGAGGTTACATTCCTCGGCAAACATATTTGACTGAATGGCAAATCGATTAGGGATAAAAACAATTATCACATTATTCAGACAAGAGTCAGATTAGGATCCTGATGAATAACCAAAGATTTTATTTAATTTATTTATTCTCTTTCCTTCAGGACTCTTATGGAGGTGTACAGTTCGAACATGAGTGAGAGCGGGGCCTCTGTGTGCCAGGTGAAGCAGCTCCCCTGCCACAGTGTACCCCTTCTCCGCTTGCAGGCAGGCGGACACCATCACAGCCCCTCTGTCGCTTGCAAGTCGTGGACGAATGGTTCACCTCCAGCCGTCACCTCCTCTGCCGTGCGCCACAGGAGCAGCGGAGCCACTGCAGGAACATGCAGCAACCCGGAGTGTGCGGCCTCCAGGCTGGTAGACGAGGTCGTGTCAGCGGCATCGTCTCGGGGCTCCTCCAAGGGGAAGGTGGTGGTGACAGGAGGAGCGGGGTACTTCGGCTTCAGCCTGGGGAAGGAACTGGCCAGCGAGGGGATGTCTGTAATCCTCCTTGACCTGAGCAGACCTACCTGTGATATTCCTGAGGGAGCAGTCTTCTATCAGGTATCCTCGTGTTTCTCATTGTACCAACTGTTAGGTAAACCTTTAGCATCATACACCTGCTCTCTGTATATATCCGCTCTCTTTTGAAAGCTACAGTAGAAGTGTTCCTTTAATTTTGGGGCTCTGTGTAACCATGAGAATCAGCTCTAGTGTCTCTGAACGTCAGAGTCGCTCTGGGTGGAAACGGACACAGGTGAGCGATCTGCCAGAGCAGCAGCTGGCCCACAGAGGGTGGAGACATGAGTCAAGTTTCACCTGCACACCTCCTTGCATACTTGACGCAAACTGCCGTTTCACGTACAGTACTAGTTAATAGAATCACATGAACTGTTTGAAATGAAAATAATAACTTTTTCACTTTCGTAGCTGCCATCTCACGCTTGTTTTCATTCTTTCTTACAGAGCGACATTCGGGATTATTCTTCCCTCCATAAGGTGTGTGAAGGGGTGGACTGCATTTTCCACACAGCTTCCTATGGCATGTCTGGACCAGAGCAGGTGACTTTTCCTTCATGTCATCTTTTGCATCTTCTCAGTGTTTAATAGCTCAAAGGAGTTGGAGTGTAGACGCCTTCACTCATTTAATCAGCTGTGAAGCAGACTGACAAGCTTCTGAATTGTTTAATTATTCTCGCAGACAAACAGTCCTCCAACCTGACTGACTGGCTGTTTCATCCTGCAGCTACTATTACAAATTCCAGCAATGCTCACCATAGTTTAGTCACAGAACCAAAAGTACAAATCTTGGTTAGGTTAAACCTGGAGAGTAATAAACACAATGCAAAGCAATGACGATACGCAGATTTTTATTTGAAAGAGACAGAAACGTTCCTGCTTCCTGAATGTGACGGAACGCAGAAGTTTCTGTAAAGTCTTGACTTCCTCCATCGCGTCATGATTCCTGCAGCCAGTCGAGTTTCTCAAAGAAAGAGAGGAAAGAGAAATGAGGGAGCGATCTCCTTAAATTTTTATTAATTGTGTTAAAATATTTGACTTGGAAAATCCAATTTACTTTAATTTGTCCGTATGTGTTTTGTTCTGCGTTTAAAATAATAAGAATTAAAAAGAGATGTTCAAGTTTTAAAATGTTTAAATCTTTTTACACAAACAGTTTCTGCTTTATAGGTGGAATGCTGCGTTTTTATGATTATAACAGTATGTTAGATTATCCTTAGTATATCGTTACAACTTCACTTCTCTCTGTTTTTAATATTTCTAACCCAGGCTTGAAGATTAAGTTGAGATTATTTAAAATACTTTTTAAAAACATGTTTTAGTAGTTTATTTGATTAAATTAATTATTCACATAAAAGTGTATTTACAGTTACAGTTATTTACATTATTGAGCATGCATCAGGATATTTACAGTTTTGTTTTTTATTTTAATTTTGAATAAATTCATTCAGTGTTCTGTGTTTGGTGGTAAACATATTTGCATGATGCATGATAACAAACATACAGTAATTACAAAATTTGACATTTTTCACTTTAAAGCACATTCACACAAAAACCAGTGGTTGTTTTGAAATTACACAAACTCCCACAAAGAAACAAGACAAGAAAGTTCAGTCAAATATCACAGTAACTCATTTCCCTGACTGATTCTTGTGATGTGTTTAACCCTCCTGCTGCCCCAAAATAAAATGGCCTCAAATGATGCATTGTGGGTCGTTTACTGGTGGGTCAACCAGAAGCTTTTGGACCAGAAACCTTTATAGATCATGAACTCACTCAGTGGTTTGTGCAAATCCAACCAAACTTGTGCAAACGTAAACATATCACAGGCAGCACGGTGGCGCAACTGGTAGAGCTGCTGCCTCTCAGCGAGCAGGTCCCTGGTTCAAACCCCGGTCCAGGTGCCTTTCTGGGTGGAGTTTGCATGTTCTCTCCGTGCATGCGTGGGTTTTCTCTGTGTGCTCCGGTTTACTCCCACAGACCAAAAACATGCATGTTAGGCTGATTGGTGACTCTAAATTGTCCCTAGGTGTGAGTGAGAGCGTGAATGGTTGTTTGTCTCTATGTGGCCCTGTGATGGACTTGCGACCTGTCCAGGGTGTACCCCGCCCCTCGCACAGTGATTGCTGGACATGGGCACCGGCGACCCCCGTGACCCAAAATGGAATAAGCGGGTAAAGAAAATGGATGGATGGATGGATGGAAACATATCACAATAAATAATTTCCAAAAAGAATTAATCTTCTGCCTGAAACAAAATCATTAATCTTGGAAGGAATTTTTGCAGAAATGGAATGCAGCCGATATGGATAGAGTTGCGTTACCAGTCAAAATGTTTGCTGTCTAATAGATCTGTTACAGGATCAAAAATGATCCATAAGTGATGTAAAATAAAAGTTTAATTTAGCTCCATTTTATAGAAAAATGAAAACGTATTTCACGCTTCACAAGAATTGAAAAAAAAAAAGATCTTCGCTTGAGCATTACACATTTTTAGACAAAATTTCTCAAAGGTGCAACTTAACATGCATCAAAATTACCCACAATGCAATACAACCAACATAAACTTAGTTTGTCAGACACCTAACGTAACTTCATGTAAGCAGATACTGATGTTTCAAACTCAGCGGCGCAACCTTTAACGATGACGTTTGAGTCAAACAAATCAAACACACCTCACCTGGTCTTCTGTTAAATGAATCAAACACACCTTGCCTGGTCTTCTGTTAAACAAATCAAACACACCTTGCCTGGTCTTCTGCTGGTTTCCAAGATTTAACAGCGAGGGAGCAGCATCTTGACTGGTTTTAAGTACAGCAGTCCCTCATTTATTGCAGGGGTTACGTTCCGGACCCCTCCCCCCTCCCCATAATAAGCAAAAAACTGAGAAGTAGAAATGACATTGATTTCTGAGATGAGACAATAAACCAAAACAGTTCAGTCAACTAATACTTTGTACATTTAAATCAACTAAATTAAAGTCAGAGTTTATTTAGCAAGAGTTTAGCTCTGTAGCTCGGTTCTGGTCTGGTTCGGTTCAAATTCAGTAGACCTACCCAGTCTTGATCCAGTTCTGGTCCAGTTCTGATTGGCTCTCTGCGTCAGTGTTGCCAGGTGAGAAATGTAGGATTATTGTACTAGAGACATAAAATGATCTTGTTTTGAGGGAAATTATTGTACACCCGTCATAACCAAAATAACAAGTCTATTGATGCTCTATAGTCACTCTAGTGTTGAATAGGTTTAGACTGGCAATACAGTGTAGGCTTATTGAGAGAAAACTAGAAAATGTTGGCACTTTTTTTGTTGTTTGTTTTGTTGTGAACAATCTTTCAGTGCTGCACTTTGAAAAACCGCCAGTTAGCGAGGGACTACTGTACTGTATTCAGAGAGATGTGATTTTGTGAGTGTGCAGAGGTGACTGTGCTGTGATTAAAACTTTTTGGTCTGTGGTGGTGTCTGACTTCCAGCTGAGGAAGCAGCTGGTTGAGTCGGTCAACGTCGGCGGGACCAGCAACGTCATAAATGGTAAGAGCTCATGCAACGTGTTCAACCAACTGAAGAAGTTCTCAAATGGAGATAAATTAGAGCACCTTGATGTCTGAGACAAGAAAAATTATTTCTTAATTGGATTTGTAAAGAGAGAGTGTATTTTATGCAGTTTGTGTTTGTGCATTTAAGTGAAACTTTATACTTGAAGGTCTGAAGAAGTTCAACAATGTTCAGTCAGGTCATCTGGATAGTTTTTTTTTTTTGTTGAGACATTTTGCCCTTCATCCAAAGGACTTCATCAGTCTGAGGAGCCACAACAAACTCTGTCCCACAAGCAGCACACTCCCACAGGATGGGACATCTGTCCAGATGACCTGACTGAACATTGTTAGATTTTTTTACCTGGATTATCGAGCATGAACTTTGACGTCTGAAGAAGTTGCTTCGCGTTTTAACTTGGCCTAACTGTGCCAGTGTGTAAGGAACGAGGTGTCCCCAGGCTGGTCTACACCAGCACCATCAACGTCGTGTTCGCAGGGAAACCCATCGTGGACGGCGACGAGGCTTCAGTGTCATACGCGCCCAGTGATTTGGTAAGCCAGTCAGTCGTATAACACACAAATCTTGCACATTTTGCCATCAGCGAAGCATAAAGTGAACGCTTCTGTCCGCTCCAGCACATCGACTACTACTCCAGAACTAAAACGGTCGCAGAGAAGATGGTCCTGTCGGCCAACGGATCCCCACTGAAAGGTGCGAAGCGAGCTGCGACAGCACTGAATTACATAAAGAGGTGGCACTCTAGAGGAGATTGCAGTCCGTTTTCTCCCCTTCCAGTTTAAAACTGTGTGCTGGAAACTGGCAATGGTCACCATGGAGACTGAGCGTGCCATCCAATCGACGTTGCAACAGTTTAAATTTAGAGTCACACGGACCCGTCGATGCTAATGTTTCAGACTTCTGCCTAAATGCATCGCATCATATTTAATGGGTTTTATGTTTCTAAATGTGTTTGTATTAACGAGCCAGAAGCCTCTCATCCCCCCACTTTAGTATAACCCGACACCCTATCTGTTGATCATCGGTCCTTACATTTAATTAAGTGTACAGCATGGAAGGTGTCTCATTATATACTGCAGGAGAAAGGTCATGTATCCGCGCCCAGAGGAAGTTTTTCCACTGCTCCGTCACAAAACATGAGTGAAGAAGCAGGGAGGCACAACATCAATCTGTTTAAGTCTTTTTGTAGCAACTTTACATGTTTCTTTGATGAACGAAAAACAGCATAATTATCTTTTTGATTGATTGTTTAATGTTCAGGTCAATATCTTACTTGAAAAAGAAAAAAAGGGCCCTTTTAAACAACGTAAATAGTAAAAGCCAGCTCTTCTAATGACGAGACCTTACTTTTTTTTTTACATTTTTTTTTTTTTACCAAACTATAGAGCTTTGCTCTTCATTTCCTGCTGCACAACTTCAGCATCATTTTGTAAACGGTGCTGATGTGAAAATGAATTTGTATGTTCCGAAGATGGAGGCGTCCTGAGGACCTGTGCCCTGCGGCCCTGCGGCATCTATGGTCCAGAGGAGAGGAGACATTTTGACAGAACGATGGTGAGCAAGCAAAAGTCTGACCCCGTCAGTCAAATTTTAGTCATAAACACTTTTCAAACATTGGTGTGACACCAAACTGGTCAAACAGATAAAGGAAGAAACTGATAAGCAAAATAAGTTTAAGCAGTAATGAAATGCGGAAGGGTTAAACCACGATGTTTGTGTAAGAAAAGGACTAATGACACTAAAAAAAGGTCCATTTTGTGTCATGTTTGAGGCCTCGCTGACAGAATGCGCTCCTGTCTGAAGAGTTTGCATAATTGATGGGAATCAGCAGGCATCCAGTTACGACGGCTGCTTTTTCTTTCGGTGTTTTCCTCCACACGGCAGCTCTCAGCGCAGTTTGGTGAATCCACACTTTGAATGGTCAAACTTGACTTTTGATACCCTTGAAGTTTGTCTTCCACTATTACTGTAGGGTGAATGTGTCCTTTAAACACGAACTAACAAATGTAACCATATTTACATACAGGTGGGACAGTAAAACATAAAAACACATGTACAAAGTCTACAACACAACTGTTTTAAGATACCAGATAAAAAAAAAAAAACAAGGTTAAGAATAAGGAAAACAGGATTTTAGAGAAACTCAAAAATGTATATCTACTTTTGGAGTCAACTTGATTAAAGATGGCTGCCACTGTTTATTGACCTTCACCAGCACAAAAATGGCATTATATCTGTCAATTTTACACGCGTCGATGTAAAATTTAGTGTGGTAGTAGCTGAGCATGATCCCCAACATATACTCTGAGCACTTCATATTGTGAGACCTACTGGATGAATTTGAATGAAACTCAAAATCTTTAGTGGCTGTGCATTTTTAACTGATTATTGAGTCTCCCCAGTTCAAGATGACTGCCAAAGCTGCTTTTATTTTTATTTTACGTTTTTGCCATACTACCATGAACTAAAGAAACCAGATTTAGAAAAACAGCACAGTAATTTGCAGACAGTATAAATTGGGCACAGACGGGGACAATCTGAGGCAGGGCTTAATTTGAGCAGGATCCTGCTGGAACAGGATCCAGAAACGATCTTATTTTGACAGGGTCCGTTCCAATAACGTTTGTTTGGATCCAGTAACTCTCGGGCTTACTAATAATAACGTTATGAACAAATTTGACTGCCTTGAATGAATAAAACTTATACTGCATATAAAAACTGAAAATAATGACATAAACACTAATTTTAAACACAACAGCCACTTACGAGCTTCTTAATATCACATCAGAGCTGACCCTTCAAGTAGCATTTCCACTTCTACCCTTATAAATATCTCAACTCCTAAAAGTTCAGTCATGGGCAATTTAATTAAAAACACAAAAATATAATTAAACAGTACAACTAAATTGCAAATCAGTTTTAAAGTTTAAGTGGGCCATTAATAAAATGTTGATTATTTATATATATATAAAAAAAGAGAAATGTTTGATGGGTAATCGCGTTAAAACAACGGTGCCAATTTGTCAAAATAACAGCTATAAAAATGTCAAAAAGACAGTCCAATTTACTTTTAAAAAAGTTTCTCATTGAACAACTTAACAACCGAGAATTGAAGCACCTGAAGGCGGTGCCAATGGAGATGGTACCCGATGTGGGATGGGGTGAGGGGTGTTAGATGTATACTTTTGTTGGGTGTAACTGGGACCTTGTGTATATAATTTTGTTCCACCACATGTACCACTTATGATGTGAATAACAATAAAGAAACCTTGACCTTAGGATGCTTGAGAAAAGCGGACCGTGCTCTATTCACACAAGGAGAGCTGTTGGTCAGGCTGCTCTCTAAAATAGTTATTGAATCAAGTGTTTATTTACGTAGATGTTTAACAACCAGTTAAACTACTCCAGAATGCAAGAAATGGCATCTACTTTATTCATAATTTTCTGGGGGAGGACCCCCCCCCCCCAGAGCCCCCGGCATTGTTTGGTTTACAAATTAAGCTCTGATTTGAGAGCTTCCTGAGAACATCTTATCATTAAACTGACCTCAAGCTGTCTGTTGATTATCTCTAGTTTCTGTTTCCAGAAATACGTGGAGTGGGGCCTTTTTAGCTTCAAGCTCGGTGACTCTGAGGCCAGGATGAACTGGGTCCATGTGGATAATCTGGTTCTGGCCCACAAGCTGGCAGCTGAGGCCCTCACACAGAAGAAGAGCTGTGTTGCAGTGAGTCTGTTTAAAGCTAACTCATGACCAACTCTCCCGTTAGATTTTAACGAAGGTGCTGCTGTTTTTCAGAGCGGACAGGCCTATTTCATTAACGATGGCACTGCAGTCAACCTGTTTGAGTGGATGGGTCCTATTGTGAGTTGAAGTGTGCACACGCTTATTATCAGGAAAACTAAAGTCAGACATGTCTGATTTCTCTGGATCAGTGAAGTTGGCCCAAAACGGTTTCTTTATTTACCGATCTGCAGATTTATCAGCTTTGAAACTTCTAAAACGTAAAACTCCTGATATATCCCTTTTAAAAGACCAGATGCTTTACTGATTGTTTTTGTCAGGACTTAATAAATGGTTTTACTGGGAAAAGTTCAAGTGGATTTTACTTCCTGTTCTTTTCTTGTAGTTTAAAAAGTTTGACCAAAGTCAGCCGTCCATAACTTTACCCATTTCACTCGTCTACTCAGCAGGTACCTCATCCTTCTTTTTTATTTTTTAGACTTTTTTTTATTTTTTTAGATCTTATTTGTTTGAAAATGTGTCACTTTTCTGCTAATAATGATTTTCTTCTGCTGGCAGCCATCCTGGTGGAATATTTACACTTGATTCTGAGACCAGTGATAACGGTGCCGCTGCCTTTTACCAGATTAGAGGTAAACATCTCTTTGTTGTTTTTTTGTTTTTAAATTATCAGATTTATTCCCTGCATTTGTCAGAAAAAAAAAACAGACTAAAACTGGAATGCAGGAAAAAAAATCAAAGAGAAAACAACAGTGCAGAAAGTTGAACGATGAGAGCAGCCATCTTTAATATTCCTCAACCTCATATCTTAAAATAAAGATATAATCTTAAAATGACAGTTTTTATTTTCACCCAACATTTCTCTGTACTTATCGTGCTGATAATGTTCAGAATGCTGTTAAGGATAAAGTTATTTTGACTTTCAGGCAGTCTTTGTCGACTAAACTTCTTGTAAAATAAGTTTTAAATATCTGACACTTCTTTCAAAAGGGGATCTCACACTAAACATCCACCTTATGTACAATATCTTCTTAACTACAGTCGCAGAAAGAAAAACTACAATGACAAAAGTAATAAGACTAAAATCAAATAATGTAAACCAGTAAATTATTTAAAAACAAAAATAGAATCTGATGTTTACAAAAAGGGCAGAATTTCTAGAAAGAGAAAGAAAAGAACACCGGACCTGCAGGGAATCATGGAGGCTCGGTTCTGTTCTGTGTTTGGAACATGCTCAGGGTACAATGAATCTCAAGATTATCAAGACACTTTGGAGTGAAATGTGCTGCAGCAAGTTTGGTCTCAGAACAGAACTATGACCCGAAACACTGGACTGGACCTGTTACAGAAATCACTCGATCGCAGTAAACGCCTCAGGAGTTTGTACATTAAATTATTAACGGTGCCATCCCTTTTGTCGAGCTCATTTGCATTAATTGTTTTAAATATAATTTTGTTGAACTGAAATTCAAAAGCAATGACTGATTTCTCAATTGATTTTCTGTCATTTTTTCTTTTTGTGGTCATTGTGGTTTTTTTGTTTTTTTTTAATCCACCCATCATGAGTTTGTATCTTAAAGCAGTGGTTCCCAACCCTGGTCCTTGAGGAACACCATGCTGCATGCTTTAGTTGTTTCTCTGCTCCCACACACCTTATTCAGTGATTTAATTACTTCTTTAAATTCAGCAGAAGCCTGTTAATCACCCCTTTCACTCACATCAAGTGTGTCGAAGCAGAGGAACAACTAAAACAAGCAGGGTGGTGTTCCTCAGGGACCATGGTTGGGAACCATTTATCTTAAAGATTAGGTTGATTTGGATTCTTCTTCAAGTCCGCCTACAACAGTCTACTCTTCTTTAGGGCAAATATTTTAAATTCAGACCCTCTCAACCCTAAAGTGGAAGCTTAAACACATAAAAAAACAAACTTTACAAACAAATGTTTGAATTTTGTCATCTTGTTCCTGGAGCTGCAGCCAATTCTTCACTTTATAAAAAAAATATATTAACTTAATAATAATAATAATAATAATAATAATAATAATAATAATAATAATAATAATAATAATAATAATTTCAAATCCATTAAATAAATCAGTCCTGCAATTGCAACTTGTCTCGAGGAGTCTTTGTCGTGGCTCGTTGGGTCCTCATGAATGTGTGATGAAGCCCGAAACCGAAGCTGAGCTCTGCGGGCCCTTCACCTGCAGAGCTGGGTCCCTCAGACAGCTGCAGGCTGAGGGATCGACTGATTGTCCCGTGAATAAAACATCAGCTGCTGCAGGTCAGAGTAGGAAGTTCAAGATGCAGTTCACAGGAAGTGACATCAGGACAGCGGTATAGGCTGAGACAGGGTACACATCACCAGGGTTCACAATGAACCCGATGACTGTACGCTAAACACTTACTTTATTTAAATGAATACCGTTAGAATAGAATTACATGTGTTTTTTTAATCATATGCAAATATTTTTTTTAAATCTGGTATCTGTTTTGAAAAGCTTCCAAAGTATCATGAACCAGAAAGAAACATGCAGTCAGGACATGCATCAGGTCTAACAGGACGGGCAGGGCTCTGTGTGACTGTATGTGCCTCAGATGCTGACGAGTACAAAACAATGTGGCTTGAGTCATACAGAAAGGCTCGAGCGCCCACTGAAGAAAAAGTGTTCACTTATGGAAAGTAAAGAGTAAAATGAGTCATAGGGAGGATTCAAAGTGATTTTCTAGGTTTTTGAAGACAAATCTCCTGAAAGTCTCTACAGGTGTTCACTTAGAATGTTGAATTTATTTCTGGTTTTTTTTTAATATAACTTTTCATTATTTCTGCAGGTTAGACACATCACTGTGAGCCACACTTTCAAAATAGACAAAGCCTGTCGAGAGTTGGGTTACTGCCCCAAGAAGTACAACCTGGCAGATGCTTTTGACCACTATTGTAAAACCCATGCGCCTCGCTCCAACTCATCCTCCACCAGCGTGTCCTTGACCTCCCAGCTGCTCAGATACCTCGTCCTTCTGCTGCTGATGGGCCTCTGTCTGCTGCTGCTCGTGTTTTCTGGCATACTCTAGCTAAACGACTGACGGTTTTGAACAGAGTGCTGGAGGATCATTTGTCTCAGGCGTAGTCAGTGGAAGTAAACACCTAATTTATTTGCAAAATAATAATGTTTTCTTAGATGTGGCAAATATTTCAGAAATCACCAATTGTAATCAATTAGAGTTGTTTTAGGTTTTCTTTTGTTTCTCATTTTTCACAAGAAAAAAAATCCCTGAAGTGAGCTGTTTTTTCCTACCCTTTCAAATCATATAAGCTGAATTTTAAAATGATGAAAAAAATCTACAAGTATTAACTTATGAGGATTTACATGTATGTGAAAAATTTCTATACTTTCATGTTATTATTAGGCTGTTGAAAAATATACAAGCTGATAATTTGTAGTAATAACGTTTAAATTCTCATTTGTTGTTTTTAAAAGCATGCTTCCAGTTTGTACAACAATGCTCTGTGGTGAGATGTTGCTGAGTAATACTAAAGAAGTAGTAATTTTGTACACTTTTAAAAATAAATCAATTAACAAGAAATGTGGTGTCCATTAAATATTTATCGCAAGACTGTTCAGCTTTCCAATACTGGTCGAAAACATAAATGATACAAAGAATTTGAAAACATTTGATCGACAGAAAAAGTCATGTTTAATGTGTTCACTAGAGGGCGCCATTGTACATGCAGTGATCGTAGTGTGTCGAGTCAACAAAGATGCAGGAAGACTTTTTGATCGAAATATTCCCATTAAAACGTTTTATCGACTACTGATCTATCAGTAGTTTCAATTAAGGGTCAAATTAAAAAAATAAAGTCATCCAGATTAATAAAACGTATGTGGCAGCGGTGGGATTCGAACCCACGCCATCGAAATGACTGGAGCCTAAATCCAGCGCCTTAGACCACTCGGCCACGCTACCTTCGACTTCTGCGGTGGAAAAATACTAATTTTAACTTTAGAAATCAAGTGGCTAAAATTTGAAAAATTTTTTTTTTTCATTCAACCTTTATTTATACAGGTGAGCCTCAGGGACTCATTTACAAGAGACCTGATTACATTAGTTACATTATACTGACGCTGAAAAGTGATGATTTTTTTAATTTTGATATAGGGCAGAATTTAGGAGTGTACAGCCACAGCTATGGGGCCTTTCAACATGATCTGTTTAATGCAACATGATGCATATACATTACAACACAATTTAAATTAAAATAGTATAACAAAAGTAATAAGATAAAAAACACAATTTTTTTAAAGTTTGAAGCACAGAAAATCTATAAACCGACCGTCTGAAATGATAAAAGACTGTTCTCTTTTTTTTAAACTGATATAATTTACACCTAGATTTTTCTGCATGGACTCCATAGTTTAACAAAGAAAATAACCTTCATTAAAACATGTGCATGATAAACAAAAAACGCCAACTTTTTATCAGTTCTTCTTTGTTTTGTCATTCTGGTTTTATGAATTTGTGAGTAAACTTTTGACACAAGTGTCTGCTGTTTTAATATCTGTGGAGTTTTGTAAAGGTCTTGCAAAGACCTGCCCCTCTGGGTGAGCGTGTACCAGGACTACTTAACTAAATTGCTCAGGGGGCCACAGTTACTGAAAGCCACAAGCTCAGGGGCCGGACATCCAGCTGTTATTGTTAAGTTTGTTTTATGGTTTAAAATCTAGTTTTGTTTAAAAATGAATCCATTGGTGGTCTGAATTGACTTGACCCGATTTGGCCCCTGGGCCACCAGTTGAATAACCCTGGTTTGTGCAGTGCAACCCTCTTGTTGGAGCTTTAGTGGATTTAAATCTCAGTTATGCAAATCCTAGTTATAAATAAAGAAACATTGTTTGTTTGACCTTTATCAACTGACGAAGGTCTTGAAAAATGGAGACAAATGTTGGGTTAGTTTTTAACATAAAATAAACACAAAATATACTGCATTACTTTTATTTTACCAACATGACAGCAAACTAAAACGTAACACTGTTATGAGCAAACACGCATTCTTCTACACAACTGAAAACATATCGTCTTTATAAATGCTTTCAAGTTTATGACACCCACATTTACACATAATGATCTTTTTATTAACACCGGGAAGACAAACCATTTATAAAGCCTCTAATCATTGGACCAAAATCTGCTCTAAACAGAAAATAAATTAAACAGTTTATCTATAAATAAAGCAAAAATGTGATTTGTCTTATCAAACAAACAGCTTGTGTCCTGCTGCTGCTGGGCAGTCGTCAGATGCATTAAAACAATAAAAATCCAGTGTGCATGTCAACAACTTTCAGATCATAGTTGCAAATAGATCTTAAATCCCTGATCTCATACACACACACGTGTGCAGATATGTATAATGTAGTAATAATAAAAAAAATGTTTCTTAAAAAATGTGTGTATTTACTGTAACACTACACATGGTGCGCCTTTTCCTGACAAACAACCAAAAGATCAAATACTGACACAGTAAAACGTGTACAAATACTGTAGTAATAGTGTAATACTTATGGTTAAAATGTGCAATATTGTGCAGAAGTTTTAGGTCATTTCTTTGTTTTAATGGTGTGAATGTTGAGTCTGCAGTGAGTTTTAGGATAAGTTCAGCTTCTTTCAGCTGTTTTAAACATTCATGTATCAAACTGTTCAGCTCATATAGGAAGTTATGGCTCAGACATTTGGCTTTTTGTAACATACTTTTTGAAATATTTTACTTGAATTTGTCTTGTTTTCCTCATTAAAATGAACAAATCCTCAAATCCTCGAGAGCTTTTAAAAATCTACTTTAGCGTCTTTTAGTTTCGGCTTTTAGCTACTTTATTTTTGCCAGTCAGTATTCAGCTACTTTTTAAATGTTTAGAAATTTTTGACTTGAGCTGCCTTTTTTTTTTTTACTCATTTTCAGCCAAGTAGCCGAGCACTCCCAGATGAAAGTTTGTTTTTAAAGCCGATAAATCTGAAATATGTTTCAATCAAGCATCAAAATGCTCCTAAACCTTCAGGATAAAGCTGTGATGTGTTTACACACATCAGTTTTAAATTTAGCTCTTCAGACCTGTCACAAAGACATGTTCACATTTCTTTAGCTATTTAACAGTCCCCAAACATAAAACAAAATAGTATTTGACCAAAAACTTGAATTCCAAAGAGACATTGGTTAAATCTTGACATACAGTCGATGATACAGATTTCAGAAAGTCTGGAGGTATAAAGAAATTAGGAACGGTTTCAAACTTTTGAGCAGTGCTGTACATCTTATCCACATTAGTTTAAATATATAAAAGTGCATTAATTATGATGGCTATATTTTATATTTCCAGTCTTGCATCAGATGCAGCTGTTGCAGATAACAGGACGGATTTAAATTAGCTGTGTGCAAACAGACAAAAGTAAAGGGAACATATTTAAGATGCACCTTCTGTAGAGTTTTATAACAAAGCCACTTCCTGTCCTAAATTTTAAACAGACAGAATGAAAACAAGTTGTTGGAGAATAAATCACGTTCAGCTGGCAGAACTGAAATCGCCATCAGGGTGCTTGCTCCCACTCAGGTCCTTCTTCGTCTTTTGGATGCAGGTGAAGATCTCCTTGAAGAGGAGTTTGTACTCCGGCTGCTGGTCGTTTTCAGGAACGCTCGTCAGATCAGACGACGCAGCCGAGTTCGAGAGGCGACGGCGGGCCCAGGAAGTCTGGACGGCTTTATGGCTGAGCTCATCTGTGGCCTGCTGGCATCGCCGCAGCAGCTCATCGTACTTTACCTAAAAAAATAATAATCAACTGCAGATCAGAAAACAGTCCAGTAATAAATACCACCCCATTCTGACAAAGTTGTGTAAAAATAAAATAACAGAATGAAAAAATGAGCACATCTCATGAACCCATATTTTATTAACAACTGAACTTATTAAAACATTAAACATTTAAACTAAGGAAGTGTTTTCTGTTGAGAGGTCTGGACTGCAGGCGGGCCAGTTCAGCACCAATCTAGAGACTCAGCAGTTCAAAATCGTCCTGCTGAAATATGCAAGGCCTTCCCTGACAAACACGTCTGAATGGAAACATGTTGTAAAACCTGTTCATACTTTTCTGCATCCTTGGTGCTCTTCCAATTGCTGCCCATGCAATAGACACCAATGCACCCCCATACCAACAGAGAAGTGGGCTTTTGAACTGCAAGGAGAGGATGTGTCTGTGGTTTCCAAACAGAATGTCAAGTTTTGATTTGTCTGTCCACTTTGCCTCAGTCCATTTTAAATGACATTTAAAGTTCTACAGATTATTTTTAATCTGTTGATGGTGATGGGTTATTCAGTCTTCTCAGTTTTGAGGAACATTATTTGGAGAAACCAGTAAACCTCTGCCCATCTTTACTTCTAATAGATTCAGCCTCTCGAAAATGTTTTTCATACTCAGTTCTCTTACTGTCCTGTTGCTAATTAACTCAAGTCATTGCTAAATGTTCTTCCAGCTGTTTTAATTTAAATTTTTATTATTATTATTATTATTATAAAATTGTACATCCTTGGACAGCTTTTTGTTGCCCCATCCAAACATATGAGCTGCGTTGCTGCCATAAAATTTTTAATTACTTTAATTAAATAGTTTTTGCACAATTTCTTAAACTTTTGATGTGTTTACTGTTTCATTGCGAGTAAAATGCAGGTTTTGCAAATCACTGCATTCGATTTTTATTTACATTTTACACAACTTCCTACATTTTTTTTAAAACTGGGGTCATAGTTAAACGTGAGGAAGAACATTCGTAGAGGAAAGCTTTCACTCCACCTGCAGCGCGCTGTACTGAGCGTCCACCTCGTTGAGCAGAGAGATGCCTCGCTGCTTCACCGCATCGGCTCGTCTGACGCACAGCTGCTCATGACCACGGCGAAGTTCATCTGCGTTTGTTGCTTTTAAAACGCTGTCACTGTTGCGCCTCGGTTGGCGCTCTTTATGCCTCTCAGGCATCTCCTCCTCCTCACGCCGTCTTTCCTCAGAGGCAAAAAATAGTGATTCAGGCAGCAGCAGCCGGCCGGGTCGTCCAGCGCTGGTAAGAGGGAGCAGGAATGCTGTATGTTAAATATTCTCTCTGATTTAACGTTGGGAAAGCAGAGTCCTGCATGAATTTGTTCTCACCTGTTGGCGCACTCAGCACGCCACAGAACTTGCAGCTGCTCCACTTCCTCCTCCAGCTCTTTCTGCCGGGCCTGGCAGCCCACCAGCAGGGCCAGCCGCTGCTCCAGACCCCGGTTCTCTCTCGATGTGAACTCAGCCTCTCGCTCCGCGGCCTCCCGACGGTTCCTTTCTGCTGCCATCTGTCTTTGAAGAGTTTGGACCGAGCGCTGCAGAGCTTGGTTCTCCTGCTCTGGGTCGACATGCCGGTCTCTGTCACAGAGGAAGCTCTGAGGAGACCAGAGTCCAACATCGTGAGCTGGATACCTGGGCCAGAAACAACAGAAGAGCTGGGTCATTAGTGGCCTGAGGGGAAACTGGAAAACATTCTGAATTTTATTTTATTTTTTTCATATCAGAGCTTTTACAGAGTAAATATGTCAGTAATTATTAAAGGCAAACTGCCCACCGCCTTTCATGTCAGACTTTCATGACAAAAATCACATAAATGAGTTACAGCCACTTTGGTCAAACCTTTAAATGATCGTACGCAGCATCTGTCTATTAATAATGTTTGATCTCTACATGTTTTGTTAGTACTTGGAGTACGTGTTGGGAATAACTTTCAGCTAAATGCTACACCAGACTTTAGCTCAGCATCTGTAAAATCCACTGAGGCGATGCCGTTAAGTTTTTTTTTTATTTTTAAGCAGCTGACTGTAGCAACCAACTTGATTTGTGCTGAATCCAAAAGTTAATCAGTTTCACATGTTCAATAAGTCCAAGGATGACTTTCTGGGAATTTAACTGAAATCTGTCCAGTGGTTCAGGAGATATTCTGTTAACGTTACAGAAACAAACAGAAAAGGATAAAAACATTAATGTACTGCCTTTAGTAGTGTTTGATAATAAATGTATAACTGGAGAAATAAGTAAAGACAAAAATATTTACCAAAAAGTAAAACGTAACAATAAAAAGTATGTGTGGGTGTAAAGTTACTACATATTTGATCATTCTTTAGGTATTTTATTTATATAGAGTTACATGCAGACTTCTCTTATTGAAACTATTTCTAAACCTTTTTCCACGATATAAATTCTTCCTGAAGCAGCCGCTCCATGTGTGAGAGGGGACGGATTAACTTCCTCCTCTGCTGGATTATGTCTCAGCTAAATGTTCTGCTCGAGGTGACCCGCACATGTCAGTTCAGCAAACAAGGGCTGAGTGCTGAAACCACAAACCAGACCTCGCAGCTATGCAAAGTTCTGGGAAAACGTCTTTAATTTAATTGTTTAATCAAACATTTATAGATGTAAAGAAATGAAACGCTGCGTCTTCTCTGCAAACGGCTCTGCTCTGCTGCAGAATGCGAGCGATAAGACACACTGGAGAGTTTTACCGGTCCCGCTGTAGGTCATACAGCTCCTTGAGGCAGGACACGCTCTGTGCTCCGAGGCTGCGCCGCTGCTCTGCCAGCTCCCTCTTACTCCGCTCTGCCTGTGCAGACTTCAGCTCCTTGATCTGGGTCTGCAGATCCTCCATGAGGGTCTGAAGCCCATCAATAGTTTCTGTTAAACTGAAGAAAACCCATTGGGAACATCTAGGCTTCATCATGACTTAAAGGAAATAAAGTGTAATTAATGGCTGACTGAAGGACTAACCTGTGGATCTTGTGTTGGGCCAGGCGGTTGTCCTGGACCAACCTCTGGTTGTTTTGCTCCAGGTCCCTGGTGGCCACGTCCAGCTGCTCGTACACCTTGGTGTGCTGGTCGTTCATCTGACGCAGCAACTCCACCTGCTTGCTCAGGTACTGGACACAACAAGAGGTTTTATAAGATTTATAGATTTTACTGCTTGACACATATTCAAGAGGGAAAAAAGAGCCTCCTATAAGCTACAAACACCATTTAAACAACATGATGTAGATCAGGGGTGCGCACACTTTTTTATCATGTGAGCTCCTTTTGAAATGACCAAGTCAAAGTGATCTACCTACCATAAGACCCCAGTAATACGAGAACAACCGCTGGAAACGTTAGTGTTTTTTCAATGTTTATTGGGGATAATCAACTAAAAATGAGCAGATTTACATGAAAAACGCTGTAGTTTCCATGTCAGTCGGGTTGCCAGATAAATGATGAACTATAGTACTGTGGCTTTAAAATAATAGTACTTTGACCTAAACTGTCATTTGTGCTGAGTAAAGATATTCTAAGATGAGGTGTGTGCTGTGTTTGTTGAACATGTGCACAGAAAAGGAGGGTGTAAATAAGACATGTTAAATTTATCTGGCAACCCTCATCGCGCATGCAGCATCTTCAGACAGTTACGTTTAAACTGGTGAATACACCAACGTCTCTTTGGAACTGGATTTTATTATTTTGCTCCAACATGCTGAAAAAGGGTGAGCAGCACAAAAACACTCTGCTCTCTGCCATTTATTGTAACTGTTTGTTATTTATTATAACTGTTGTTAGCTCAGAAAAACTTTGGACTGCAGCCACCTGTAGTGCACATGTACGACTTCACACAGGGATAATTTCACTGTGTGTGGGGTGGTGGGGGTGGTGGTGGTGGGTGGGGGGGGGTTGTTCCCCACAAAATCTCCACTACTCTGAGACCTGGTTTGAGAGAACGAGTGCTGTGACTGGCTGCCCTGTATGTCAGTCATGTGACACATTTCATAGTGAGGATGGATGATAGGCTGACGTCTATTTTTTTTATGCCACGTGATCTACCCATAATGTCTTTGCGATTGACGTGTTGGGCACCTCGGATTTAGATGATATTGTTGATATGCTAGTTAGCTGTGGCTCATGTGATCTGTTAGCTCTCAGCTACGATCCCACCAAATTTTAGCTCAACATCTGAAGAACTGTCTGAGCCATTTTGTGTGTTTGCTAAGGTTCCTTAACTGTGCCAGCCATCTTGAATGGGGATGGCTCCAAAAATAAATCAGCTGTAGACGTGATTAGGTTCTGAAAAATTCATTTAAACGTGCCCCGACAAACACAGATCACCATCATACAGCATCACTGTATACTGTAAAAAAATAACTTGTAGGTTATATTGTATTATATTGTTTTTGTGGGTAAACCTCTTGAGAATCATAGTTATCCTTCTAGACACAGTGACTATACATTGGAATGTATTTTCACCATAAAAAGGTAATTGAAATTTATTTAGGACCCATATTGAATAGTTAATCTCAAAATATAACAAGCCAGGTGGTGAAAGGGTTACATAGTGTACTGTAATCTGTCTTTGCACTGAACACAAAAATAATTTTTCTAAAGACGTGCCTGGAGTAAGCTGCTGTTTCCAGTCTGTATTTAACTCAAACATCCACCTTAATCTCCAAGACTGACTTTATAAAACGTCATTCGTCTCTAATTTTTTTCTTGCAAAAATGTTTTACTCTCCAGCGTTTTCAGTTGAATCAAACAGAAGTCTTTCCCAGCATCACATCAGACTCACGTGTACAAGCAGCTTTAATTTAGCTCGTTCGGCACCAGACACAGCATTAGTATGAGGGTCACCGAGACGTATTGGGATTACCATATCAACCTCAATAAACCCTCAAGCCACAGCGTTCTCACAGTCGTAAACAAATTAAGACTCTAATAACTGCTGACCCACTGGGCGGCGTGTCCTCTGGGTCGATCAGACCAGTGCTGAAGTTTACAGGGGGCCGTTTGTGTTAGTAAACCCTCAGATAAATCAGAACACAGAACCACAGTACTCGGTGAAGAAAGCAGATTTTAGGATTTGACATTCAGCAGATGTCTGAGGTCAGCACACAGAGATGCCAGGAGTTTGAGTTTTCACATAATTAGGTAGAACCTGTTCTCCAAGTGGCTCATTAGGTTAGTCTGGTCAGGATTAGATTTTACTTCTCTCAGTGAATCATCCCTAAGCCTGGATTTATTCACTTAAAGCCATTAACAGAGTAACTGCCTGAACAGTGGTGGGTCTAAACGTGTGGACACATGTTCACAGGATTCGAGCAGCTGGAGGCGACCAGTAAACATGGATCACCTCCATCTCCTGCAGCTGGTCCTGGTTGGTGGAGTACATCTGCTGCAGGGCCTGCTCCAGCTCATGGTTCCTCTCAAGGAGGCTTTTCCCCAGCTCCGCTGCCAAATGGAGATCTAAACAAAGCAGAGCAAATCTTTAAAACACCAGTTCTCGCCCCGTCACAAACAACTGGAAGTGACTGAACAACAGCAACTTATTGTCCTCGGCTAAGTTCTTATCACGTCTGGACTTTGCCTGGAATCTGTGTGGCCCACTAATCTGGATTGACGCCAGCCTCCTTGGTCTACAGTGAATAATGCAAATAAAACAACAATGAGCTTTGTAGTTTTTGACTCGGATGTTTCATATCTCTGATAAATGATCTTGAACATCTTTACAGGAGGAGGGTGAGACAGAGCAGCACAAACTGCAAAGATCCATCTCATACTTTTCAAAACATGAAGATCTTCCTGACTGCTAGCATCACTTCTACAAATAAAAAACTTAATTTACACCAAAACCCCATCTTGGATTAGGTTTTTCATTAGTTTACTCAGAAAAGGAACGAAGTAAAGACCCAACCAACTGCTATATTATTTAGCAGATGACTTATTAAGAATATTAGTGATCCAGTTTGTTGTGCACTTTAATTGAATACCACTCCTGAACTCTACAGGTGATGTCATCTGATTTTTATTATTAGTACCTATTGTCTTTCAGAGCTGAATAATTACTTTTATAGAGTTAGTCATTGTTAAAATTATACTTTTTAAAAAGTGCACATGCTAAAGTGTGTAATATTGACTTTCATTATAATTTTATTTATTTTATTTTATTTTTTTAGGAATGACATTAAATTTTCCTTGGAAACTAAATCACAAGCTAAAGGAAAACGTATTCAGTCCAAATGTAAAAAAAGGTTATTATGTTTAAAGTATTTAAAACTAGCTTTGGCTTTTCCTTAAAACAGACTGGTAGGAGTTTAATTATAAAACTGTAAGATCTTAAACAGTTGGTATTTTGTCATTTTTTAATAACAATAAATTATTTGACTATAATTTTGTTTTTAAATGCCATTTTCAGACACTTTAGGTAATTTGTTATTGCTTTTTCCAGAACTGTATCATATGTCACTAATTCAAAGCTCATCTGTATTTTTTTTTTTTACAACTTTTGCACAATTATTCTAGATTAGACTGTGTGTGTGTGTGTGTGTGTGTGTGTGTGTGTGTGTGTGTGTATAGACTTTTGAGTTTAAGTTTTTGTAACTCCATTTTATCCCAAGCATTATTAGGATAGCATAACTATACATCTATTTATTTTATGCCTCACCATCCAGCTGCTGTTTGAGCAGCACAAACATAATTGATGAAACACATAATTACTAAGACAATAAAAACACAGGACCTGACAGCCTCAGGAAATCCTGCCACAAGATGAGAAAATACCAACTTTAAGTTGATTTTACCTTTATGAACATTTGAAGAAACACGTGCATCATGTTATCTCACCAGCTTACTCTTACTGTTTCGTTTATTTGTAAAGAAATTGCCATTACACTCGTCTGGACAAATAATGACAAAGCTGGCCGGTGATGCGTTCACTGACTCGTGGCGTAAAGTGGAGTTTTAAGGGCGCGTCCTCTGCTTACCGTTTTCGAGGTCCCGCTGGTTATACCAAGTTTCTTCATTCTTCTCAAACTCTTCCTCAAGAATCACGTCAGTCAACATTTTTCACGCCGCAGGGTTAAAATAAATCTCCACCCGAGAGAAACTTCTCACATTTCGTGTCGGTGCGGCTGTCTGGAGTGGTCGGCTAACCACCGCGGGCTGCGACTACATCCTGCCAGGGTGTGTGAGAGGCTTTAACTCGGTTGTCCACAGCAACGTGGCAATCCCTCCTTATTGACCGGTAGGAGGCAGAAGAGCCACACGGAAACACATATTTGTTTACACAAATCAATTGGCAATTTCTATTACTATTTCTCATATTTAGCTTTATTTTAATCATCTCACATAGTAAGTAGAACAATCCGACTGACGGTTCAAAATTTAAAAAGCAACTGGAACTTCCTGTTATTGATTGACACTTTTTTTGTCCAATCACAGAGCATCTAGTAAGACGGAATTCTTGCGTCCAATCAAACGTTTGTTGATTATCAATAAACTCCGCCCCCGATCAGGAGCACAACAATCGAGTTAAGCAGGATTTCATAGTCGGAGTGGAAGATTTTCGAGGGTTTGTACAGGTTTGGTAACCATTTAGTTAGTTAGTAGCTTTAACGGAAACTTGGGGATCAATTAAACGAAAATGCTTTAGAAGAAAACGTGTTTCGACGCTTTGGAAGTCCAGAAGCTGGAAGTCCAGATTTGAGTTCAGTCAGTGTGTGCACCCGAAAAACTGAAGAAGCGTGGCCATCATGGCTCGACACCTGCTGAATTTCGGGATCAGTTATGCAGCTCTAGCTTATTCCATGACTACTCTGGGCTCAGCCATGATTAACAACATTTTCAGCTTCTATTATGTTAATCTCTTCCTGAATAAATACAAGATATCTGAAGGAGCATTCCACCAATCACAAGTGAGTATCTTGCAAATGGTCTTTGTGGGGAAATGTGTGTAAAAATAAACAAATAAAAGGAAAGAACTGAATCTGGTTGCTTTATGTTTGCATTTCCATACTCAAGATGTTCTTTATAATTTCTGATCTTTAATAACCAAAATATTTCTGCGAAATGTTCTTCTGTTTTTTTTATTTTAATTACAATGAGATAAACCTTGTAATCTTTTAAAGTGGCCTTGAACTCAGTTTCTCAGGGCTGTCTAAATCTTTAAGATAATACTAATAATAATAATTTGAAAGCAACTTCCACTCATTATATTCATGTTATCAGTCCAACAGTTCACAGTTTTAAAGGTTAATATATTTTTGTGTTTCTTAACTCATTTAAATGGCAGCATGGTGGTGCAGTTGATAGAGCAGCCGCCTCTTAGTGAGAAGGTGGCTCCGGTTCAAATCCCAGCCTGGGGCCTTTCTGGGTGAAGTTTGCATGTTCTCTCTGTGCATGTGTGGGTTTTCCCTGAGTACTCCAGTTTCCTCCCACAGAAACATGCATGTTAGACTGATTGGTAACTCTGAATTGTCCCTAGGTGTGAGTGAGAGTGAATGGTTGTTTAGTGTCTCTGTGATGGACTGGAGACCTGTCCAGGGTGCACACCACCTCTCGCACAGTGGTGGCTAGACATGGGCACCAGTGACCCCCGCGACCCAAAAATGGAAGAAGCGGGTAAAGATCATGGATGGAACTCGTTTAACTCTCATTCATAATCATCCAGGTATAAATGAGCTGCTAGACTCCAGGGATGAACCACAGACGTGATCTTTAGGCACTTCGCCGGCAGCCGGGCACAATTCTGTTTTTCAAGCACGCACTGCATGCTGCGCTGTCATGGTCTGGTACAAAGACTGGGTGGAAAATGAGTGACAAACCAGTAAACAGTCAAATTTGCCTAAAGAAACATTATTAAAGAGCACTTTAAAGAGTTACAAGAAGGCCTAGATTTTGGACATTGATGCTGATTTAAAACTTTAGATAGTTGTGTATGTGTTAAATAATTTAGTTTTATTTACTTTGCTCACTACTTTAGACCTGCTTGAACAGTTGTTGTCATCTCTGTGTCTGCAGGTGGTGTACATGGTGTGGAATGCGGTCAATGATCCTCTCTTTGGTTACCTCCAAGATAACTCCCGGGTTCCCTGCTGCTCTCACAGACGTCTCTCCATCCTGTATGGCGCTCCGCTCTACTCCCTGGCTTTCCTCATAGCCTGGTTCCCGTGGCGATCGTACTCGCCTGATGACTGGCTGTGTGGCTTACATTTGACTGTAGCGCTGTGCGCATTTGACGGCCTGCTGACGTTTGTGCTGCTGGCTCAATGCGCCTTATTTGCTGAGATTTCCAGCCACCACGAGAACCGATTAAGGCTCATAAAGTACAACCAGGTACGACGACCATCTTTACGCTGCTTTTGTAAGTTGGACCTTTGATTTCACAGCTCTTGTCTGTTTCTCAGGTGGCCTCGCTCATCGGCTCCTCCAGTGTCCTCTTCTGTGGCATGGTGTCCAGAAACATGGAAGACTTTCCAACTTTTCAGACTTTCACCGTGCTGATCGCCTTGTTAAGCTGCGGCTGCATGATGTACACAGGCTTCCACAGCGAAAGTCGCTTTGATAATAAACAATCAGACAACTTGATGTCAGGTGACCAGGCTACCAATCATCCAGGATGCTCCTTCTCCATGCTGAAGACGATGACGTGGCAGATCCTGATCAACAGAGACTTTCAGCTGTTTGTGCTCATGAATTTCTTCCAGGTGTTTATGTTGGCGTTCTTTAACAGCTTCACCATGATATTCACCGAGCACCTCATTCCTCCAGACGCGCTGCCGTCGATGGCTAAGAGCGTCATGTACGGCGCAGGCTTCATCTTACCTCAGGTACTTCTGTTTTCCTGGAAGCATTTGTAGGCTAAAATACATCTTTTTTTGTCCCAACGTGTGAACTCGTATGACTGAACTAACAATTTTAAAGGTCTCACTAACCCACAGGTCTCTCAATATTGGATAAAATTGTTTAGTTTTAACGTGTGTTGCTTGTACCAGAAGATATTTTGTTAATTTTTACCATGTTTCTATCTCACTGTATCCATCCCAGCTTCTAGTTTTGAGCAGTCACAGACTGCTGCTTAAGATTGGCTACTATAAGATCATCCTCTTCACCTTCTTCCTGGAAGCTGGAATGGCAGCCGTCATGCTGCTACTTGGTCTTCAGCACTACTATTTCTTGGCATTTTTTCTCACTATTAGCATGTAAGAAGCTTTGGATAAGGTCCTTGGTTGACCTGTAAATTATTGTTTTTAATTATACTGACTAATCCTTGACCATCATCTCTTCTCCAGGGTTCTAGTTCAAGCAGCGTTCAGTCTCTTCGGGTTGCCTCTGGCTGACATTATCGACACAGATCTGCAGAAATACAAGCGCAGGTGAACAAGGCCTCACTGAAATAACAAGAGATTTACTGCAGTATGTTTAGTAATAACTTTTGGAGCAAATTGGGGAGCTGGTGTTTATAAAGGTGTGCTGTTAAATAAAACAAGTGTACAGTAGTCCCTCGTTTATTGCGGAGGTTACGTTCCAGACCCCCACCCCAATAAGAGAACATTTGCGATGTAGCGATGTTATATTCATTTTAGTTTTCATATATATTTTAAGACTTTATAAACCCTTCCCACTCTCTTGTAATGTTCTAAACTCCTAAACCTACATTATATTAGCAACATACGTATATGTAGCTACTAAATTTTACTCAGAACAGCAGCAGCTCTCAGTTCTGCTCCGACTTGGTTCTGTTTTGGCGAATCTACCCTGCCGGTTCTGGTCAACTCTCTGGCTCGGGGTGGTAGTGGTGATGGGCTCCAGACAGAAACCAGACCTACGGCTGCACATCACTGCTTGGAAGTCCTTGTTGGCTGGCTACCAGCTCTCAGGTTCGCCGATGGGTCTGGAGGTCCAGTTCTGGTCTGGTTCCATGCCGCTCTCTGAATCTGTTACGTGCCGAAGTCACTGTAAAGGACCAAACTTTTTCGGATCAGAACAAAACTTTCCCTATACGTATTTCAGCAGAGGGCAATGCAGCCTCTGGTCAGAGCACTGACTTCTGGGACATGTAGTCCTTATGAGTAGCGATGCATTATAGGCTTATTGAGAAAAACTACAAAATGGTGGCACCTTTCCAAAGTGTTTTATTTTTTAGTTAACTTTTTTACTGTACAGTATCCAGTACTGTCCCAATCACGTGAGTAATATCAAAGTTGACAGTCGTGTGTCGTGTGCATTTTTTTCCTCGTGTTCAATCTTGCTTTGAAAAAACGCAAAAGAGCGGGTCCACGAAAGTCGTACCTACCGCAAAGTAGCAAGGGACTACTGTAACTCACTCAACTTTTGAGCTTTTGAGTTGAAACTTGGTGTGGTAGTATCCGATCATCATTCACAACACATATTTTGAGCACCACACATTGTGCAGCATCTTTGTCTAAAACTTTGTTAGACGTAACACGGTCTGTTAGCACAAATACTCACAAAGCCCTGAACAAATCTTAATGAAACTCTCAGAAAGTAAACATCAGATGTACATCTACAACTTATCAACTTTGGTAAATGTTCACACAGCTAACTGACATTAGCCAACACAAAAATAACTATAACTCAGTCAGTTGTACTGATTATGAGCTAGACTTTAATTTGGTAATAGCTGAGCATCATCCTCAACACATACTCCCGAGTGCTAACACATCTCTTTTTGTCTTTATAAATTTATATATTTTATTTATTATATATATTTGACTTGTCGCCTGCTGTGGTTGTCCACAGTTCCCCTCTGTCCTCCATGGTGTTTGGAACAAACGCTCTGTTCACTAAACCGGCTCAGTCTTTGGCTCCGATGATCGTTCTTAAAATCCTGAATCAGTTTGGATACGAGCAGCTGAAAGGTGCAGGACAAGACTCAAACCTGAGGTACAGACAATGGATTTTTCAGCATATTAGTTCTTTAAAAGTTAAAATTGTGAATTTATTTTTTAATCTGAGATTCCCAGCGGTGGTTTCTGAGCACGAGTCTCTGTTGAAGGCACCGCTCCTCATGTCACATTTGCATCTTTTTAAACGTAAAGTTTAGAGTCACATAATTATATATAAATGTTAATTGTTAGAACTTACTGTATTTAATATCAGAGTCAGTCAGAGTCAGAGTCAGAGATTCTTTATTGTCATTCGCACCTCATGTGGTACATGTGGTGGAGCGAAATTATGTACACAGGGTCCCAGTTACATCCAACAATAAAATGTATAAGAAAAACAGTAATAATATCTAAGATATGAACTAAGAAAAACATCAACTAAATATACACTAAGCACTCATAACATAAAAACATTGAACATCAGCACAAACATGAACATGAGTCTGTGTGAGCGGATGTGCACGCATGAACACATCAACATTGAAACAGATCAGCAGCAACATGAAACAGATCAGCAGCAACATGATGTGGTTTTTCACAGTGGTAGTGGTAATATGGGCTTTCAGTCTAGTTTTTATCTATTTTTTTAAGATAGCAGTTGCTTACTTGATAAATTTCAAGATAGAAACGAGGTAAGATGCTGGTGTCAGTGAGATGAGAACGAGCGACGGTGGAGGTCACTCTAAAACGGTAATTAAGACAGGGAACACGTTTTATCAAATATTATTTACATAATGTGAAAAATGTGAGCAGAGGTTCCTTGGAACAGAGACTTTTTCCCACAATGAAAGACATCAGAATCTATCTGCTGTACAGATGAATACAGGAGTCATTGTTGGATATCAACATATTTTCACACAAGAGCGTCAGACCCAGATGGTTGTATCTGTGGAGGACAGCTTGACCCGGCATCAGAATCAGAAACATGCTCTGCAGTATAAAGCGAAGGCACTTCATTAAATCTCATGTTCCAAAGGTCACCTGTGATTTCATAATTCAAATAAGGAAAAATATTAGCTTTATGCTCAAATATTCAATCAGCAGGTGAGGGACTCATTAGAACAAAACAAAAAGCAAGAAGATACGACAGTGTGAACGCTGAGTGCTGAATGACTTTCATCTAATTTGCTGAAGAAGCTAAAACTAAATTGTTACAGTTAAAATAACCAGGATGCATGCTAAAAAGAGCTAAATATAAGGTGAAAACTGTAGTTAATAGTAGAACACAAGCTAAAAGCTAAAATTAATCAAATGGTAACTAAAATCTCGAGAAATTGCATTTCCTGCGAAAATGTAGTGTGAATGCTTATTGCAGAAGAACTTGGTGAAAACCGCTAAATTAGCCACAAAAAAACCATGCTGAAATGCAGCTAAATGAAAGAGCAAGCCTAAATTGGCAGAAGAAGGCAGAAAGAACATATATTTGCTGAATTGGGTTTAAATAAGCAGAAATAAACACAAAAGTTAGGAAATCAGCTAAAAACAATAAGCTAAAATTCACCCCAAAAAAAAATCTTTCAAAGTAGCTGAAAATTCAGAAAGAAGCTTAACCTACGAGAAGGTAGTGGAAAGAGCTGAAATGGGCTAAAAAATGTGGAATTAGCTGAATTTTTTTATATATTTTTTTGCATAAAACAGCTAAATAGGAACTCGGATCAAAATAGGTCTCTCTTGTAAATGACTCAGTGCGACTAACCTGTAGAAATAAAGGTTGAAGGAATTTGCTACAATAGCAGTAAAAGCTGAAACTAGCTGAAAGGAGCGTAACGAGCTGAAATTAGCAGAAAGAAGTTAATTAGGTTGAAAGTAGCAGAAATTACCAAGACAAACTTGAATTTATCTGAAAACAGCTGAAATTAGCTAAACAATTTCGGAAAAGTTCACTGAAAAACTAGAACAATCTTAAATTAGCAGAAGAAAGCAGAAAAAACATGTTTGCCCATTTAGGCTGAAAGAAGCAGAAATGAGCACAAAAAGTAGAAATTATCTGAAAAAGCTGCAATTAGCAAAAAAAACCTGCTAAGTACCAGTAGCTAAAAAGAAAAAAAGAAGTTTAAATTACCAGAAGGAGGTGGAGAGTGCACATTTTTACTGCATTACCAGTAAGCTGAAAAGAAGTTGAAATGAGTGCAAAAAATGTGGAATTACCTGAAAAAAAACAACAAATTAGCATAAAAACAGCTATATAGTAGCTGAAATAGCAGAAAAAACTAAAACTTGCAGAAATAAGCTGAAAGGAGCATAATAAACTGAAATTAGCAGAAAGAAGTTAGAAGAAGCACAAAAATATTGTAGAAAGAATCAGAAAGGATCACAAAATAGCCAAAAAAACAGCTGAAAGTAGCTGAAAAAATGTTTAAATTTGCACAAAGAAGCTGAAAGAAGTCAAACGGGAACAATGTGAAAAGAGCAGTAAAAGGTTTTAAACGGATCTAAAGATATGAAGGATGTAAAATTGGCTCAATTCATTTTCTATGAGGAAAAAAGTGGCAGAAAAGGCTAAATATTTCAAAAAGCTAAAGTTGCACCAATACCAAAAGTCATAGCAGGATTGTCCTGGAAGAGCTGAACTTGAAAACTGCAGGATGAGAATCGCGCCGACAAACGTTTGGAAGAAAAATGGATCACAACAGTGTGAATGCTTTATGAGCGTTCACACAATTAGCAAAACAGTAGCTAAAAAAAAGCAAAATTGTAGCCAAAAATTAAAAACAGCTGAACAATAGCTAAAATAAACAATATGGCTGTCACTTGGTAACACTTTGTAGAGACATTTCTGGCAGAATCAGACACGGTCCATGAACAGACTTAAATTTTAATGTTAAATGTTGGTGTAGTTGTAAATAAAAATGCAACCCCTTTGTGTCTTCTTGTTTCCAGTGCTTTGGAAGGTCTCCGCAGTGTCATGTTCTACCTGGTCTGCCTGGTGCCCATGGGTGTCGCTGCTCTACAAGTCCTGGCTTGGTGGCCGTTTTCCATCCGCAACAGTCACAAAGTGGACTCAAAGTACATAGACAGCTAACATCTGCGTTCTCAGAATGCTGAGGAAGCAGCTTATGTTGTTGGGATGTGGGTAAATGCTTAAAGAATTACCTCAAAACCATGTCAAGGTTACTCATCTTAATGTGGCAGCTGATTGGTGGCATAAATATTGGTGAGACTAAAATCAAATGTAAACGTTTCATTTCCTCCAAGTATGGCACTGAACTGAGATGTTTGTTAATCACAGTGGCTGAGGCTGGAAACTGTTCTTGTAATTCTTTAGTCCTGATTCTTGATTTTTACTCGTTTTCCAGTCAGTTAGTATGAAAGTTATTACTCCTCCAGACAGAGTTTCATAAACTCTGTCACGTTTGATTTTCCTATGATAATTATAAAAGTCCTGTTGGGCTTTTGGGGGGGAAAAAAAAAATTGTGCACTTCAATGAGTCAGCACTTATGTTGAGGTTGAAACTTGATCCAAAGCAGCAGAAACGTTTCCACTGACATTTACAGATCTACAGCACTTTGAGTCAAAGTTGGTCCAATTTCATGTCATGTTTGAATCCAAGGATGTTTACATTCCAGAGCGGATGTTGGTTTCCTCGTTATAACGGCTGTCATGTTTGATTTTAGCACAGCAGAGCACTACAGGTATATTTTGAGGGTGAGGAAACACATTTAGCCTCATTAATGTTGGATTTGGATCAGTTGTTCAGACTCTTCATGTTGGCAGCATATTATTCATGAATGATGTATCACAAATTAAGAGTCAGACATAAATGTAAATTATTTTGATGAAAGCCATGTTAAAAAAAACATGCAATAATACAAATTACATGTCATTAGGCTGGAAGGCACTTGCTGAGAGTTTGGGCTCATTTTTATTTTACTGGAAACAGAAGGAAAGCACGCAACAATTAACACTAATCCACCTTCTTTGTATGCATGGATTAAATATAAATGGCAACTGTTCTATGGTCCAGATGATCGTGTTTACGTGTTGCGTTCACTTGCACATGAAACTACACGAATTTTGAGGGAAAATGTGCTTCACAACATGGCTGTTTCACAGTTTGTGACAAAAAAGGGAGAAAAAAAAACATCCATAAGAGAGAATCTCTCGCAGACTGAGAGAAAAATACAGAAATGCTCGTTCCACCCACTCATCCATTTACCTTGACCTGCTTTATCCTTTCCACAGGGGGAGTGGTGGCGCAGAGGTTAGAGAAGGTGAGCCTATGATCGGAAACTCGCCGGTTCAACTCCCCGAACCAACATCAGAATGTGGGTGTGAAAGGTGAAGCACCCACACCTGCCTCCACCCTCATGTACCCCACACTGGGCCCTTGAGCAAGGCCCTTAACCCCCACCATCTGCTCCCCCAGGCACCCTAGATGGCAGCTGTCTGCTCCACACAGAGGGCTGTGGTAGCTCGGTGGTCTATGGTTGTGTCAGGAAGGGCATCCGGCATAAAAACTATTGAATTGTGTGAGTAGTTTGCTGTGGTGACCCCTGAAGAAGGGAGCAGCCGAAAGAAAAAAATCCTTTCCGGGTCACGGTTGAGTCCACCACAGGACCACATTTAGACCAAACGTTCTCACTCCCACACCTGGAGGGAGTTTAGCGTTGCCAGTTAACCTAACATGCATGTTTTTGGTCTGTGGGAGGAAACAGGAGTACCCAGTGGGTCAGTGTGTTTGCACTGAGCAGAAATGGATATAATTATTATAACAGTACAAAATGTGCACATGCAGTACACGTGGATCAGAATAATGTGAATTTAAAAAGGTGACGGTGTTTCTTTTAAAGAGGGAATTTGTCTTGTTCGTATGAAACTTTCTTCCTGTGATCTAATCGATGTGAAGTCTTTTCAGAGTTAATTAAAATTTGTTTACAAGACATTCTGCTCCGAGCACGATTCATGCTGTACAACGTTTGAGTCTTTTTGTTGTAAGTAATTTCTAAACCTTCTGAAAGTATTTCTTTGAATTCTGGCTGCTTTTTAAAAATAATAATAATAATCTTTAATCCAGTCCAGAGGAAGTTGTTTCAAATAGAACAGTTTTCTTTAAATCATTCGAGCAGTTATTTTAGCTGTTTTTAAAAACAGTCCAACCAAGGACTGGGTTTGCAAATTAGCCTGTGGCTAAAAATCCTTCATATAAAATAACAATTGCTTTGTTTTTACCATGTAACATTGTTTATTGTGCTGCCCTTGATCAAATAAATTTGAATGAATGAATTAAAACTGGTATCAAAGTGAAATGACACATCAGTGTTGTAACTACACAACATTAACGCAGGGTCTATATTCCTGTTGATATGACTTCACACTAGTAACATGATTCACATGAATTAAAACTTCAGTTTATAGCCTCTTACAGCTTTTCTCTTGCAAGGATCAAACCTCTGACCTGATTATCAGACTGATTATATTTATATGCACTTTATTACTCACTTCCTGTTGCAAAGAAGTGTTTGTAGCCATTGCTTTGGCTTGGATCTATAAAAATGCCAAAGAAAACAGTCTTACAGAAGTAAAGTCATATATTTTAGCACACCATGCCAAGACAAGTTTTCAGCTGGTAATTCTTTGGGGACCACCTTGTTGGTGATAAAATACTTTATGTGTCAAACTGTTTTTTTTTTATTTTAAATATATATATTTTTTGTGGATTTGGCAAAATAAATGAACAAATTTGTCCTTTTGACAGGCAGCTAATGTTGCTGTTTATGCTTGGTTGGGCCCAAATGATCAGGTAATGGACTGAATGAGTGAAAAAACAGCCAAAGTCCAGAGGAAAACTGTCAGACTGTCAGGATGCATGGAGAGCTGACCAAAACTACCTTTAAAAGAAACATCTGGCTCTTTGGAAGCTGAATATGAAGAAATTCAGAGCATTAACTCATAAACGGCACAGATGCTTCCTTAACTTGTCATATTTTCTTAGACATTGTTAGAAAACACCTATAAGCCAGGTGAATGGACACAGCAGGACTTGGATCACTAAACATATTTCACACGGCTAATTCTCCACTCTCTGTTGCAGGAATTCCTGAAATGAAATCTGAAGAATGAGCGTGAACGGACATGTAGAAAGAATGAGAAGGTGGGATGGAAACGACACAGAGATGCAGTCTGTGTAACAGCAGAGGCTGAAGGTTCGAAGAGAAAAGGAGCACTAATGTGACGTTTATGCCTCCAGATGAGTAAAATCCGTGCTGAAGCTCACTGCTCATGTCTTCTGTCCTCTGTTGGATGTTTTCTTTGTATCCTCCCAGCCAGAAAGATGCAAATCGGCCATATTTCACACATTCTGGTAGATGTCATCAGTGGAGATGTTGCTCTCGCCGTTTACTTCCTGGAAGGACATTAAAGTCAGTGAGGAAACGTACAACTGCAGAAGTTCTTTGCAATCTTAGTGTTGAGTAAATCTGACTCCCAACGTGCCGCAACAATATTTACCCCAACCGGAGAATGGTTTCTGGTTTGTTTGCTCTTAGTCAAGTTCCCTCTGCTGTGCAGTTCTTGCAGAACATCATGAAACTGGGTCTTTTTTCTCACACTGCCCTGCTTTGGGGACAAACGTTGAGATTTACAGTGAAACACAAACGCATCGCTTGCATTTAGAATACAATCTTGGGACACTTTATGACTCTTTGTGAGCTCTGGTGTTTTGAGAATCTTGTCAAAAATTAACAGAAGCTTTGACTCTTCTTCCTCTTTAGTTTTAGTGGTGTTAGAAAAAAAAAGACTCACTTGTACTGCTTTGTCTGATCTGGACGTCTGCTTGCAGATGGTAATTTTGCAGCCATGCTACAACAAAAAGAAACTCGTGTCAGATCAGCCCAGATTCAGTTAGTCGCACCAACTCTGATCAATCTGAGCAAAAGATTTAATTTAAGATGAACACGAGTCACCTTTTTCAGAATAAAAAGTGCCACTAATGCCAGGTTATAGATGACCAAGAGGGTGAAGGACGACCACAGAAGGCTCTGTCTCACTTCTGGTTTCGTATGCTCTAAAAGAGAAAAGAACGATCTTGTTCAAGAAACTTAAGCGTGGGATATTCTTCAGCCCTCGAGTCAACCTTCTACCACCTCCTTACCTCTCACCACAAGAGTTGTTCCCAGTCCTACGTGATGTCTGCAGCATTCTTTTCCACTTGTTGAATTGACAGCGCAGTAGTAGACGCCGCTGTCTTTGGTATTCGGTGAAGTAATCTGTAAAGATGTTGCGTTCAGGCTGTGCCTCTTTGTCAAGTTGACACAAAAATGGTGGTTTTCTCTAACAACAAACCACTGGTAGTGCAGGTTTTCACCAGAACAGTTAGAAACAATACAAGGGAGAAGAGCTGATTGTGCTGTCTTGTAGAAAATCACCCTGCGAGGCTGGGACACGCAGCTCTCTTCCTTCTTTCTGCTTTCTGCAAGAAACAGATTTTGTTTTTTAAGAATTCATTTTCAAACATAGTTTCTTGAGACTGATTACAGAGCTGAAACAAAACGAGCTGGTTCTTAGTGAATCAATGAACCACTCAGATCTTTATGAAGCATAGGTGTGTCTTACCTGTCCCACACAGGTGGGTGAGCAGGAGAGGCAACCAAAACGAGCCCTTCATGGCTGTAGCCGGACTGCTGGTGAATGATCTTATGATTTCCTGAAGGAGGTGATCTAAAGGGCACCATAGGAACAAGTTTTTGATTTCACTTCCTCAACGCTCATTTCCTCTTTTTCTGCATTGTGCAGTCTGTTTGTAACACCACAGACTTAAATGTACACGAATCATTTTAACATGTTGAGGTTTGTGATATTTGAGGTTTTTACATTTTTACGTTCAGCGCAAATACAAACAGCTGTTATAACTTTAACTGGCGACTCAGTTGGTAGAGCTAGTGCCTCTCAGAGAGAAGGTCGCTGGATCAGATCCCGGCCAGAGAACTTTCTGGGTGGAGTTTGCGTGTTCTCTCCATGCGCGCGTGAGTTTACTCCGGGTGCTCCGGTTTCCTCCCACAGATCAAAAACATGCATGTTAGGCTGATTTGATAACTCTAAATAGTCCCTAGGTGTGAGTGAGAGAATGAATGGTTGTTTGTCTCTATGTGTCCCTGTGATGGACTGGAGATCTGTCCAGGGTGTCTCTCACCTCTCGCACAGTGATTGCTGGACATGGACACCGATGACCCCCGTGACCTGAAAAAGAAGAAGCGGGTAAAAGATGATGGATGTAAAAACAGAAAAAAAACCCTGCATGATTTGTCCACCTGTTGTATCAGAAAACAAAAGACCAAGTTTGCATGTCATGGTTTTGTATATATGTATATATATATATATATATATATATATATATATATATATAAACAAGGTTGATAATGGAAACAACTGACGATTACTAATTATTTTATTTTGTTAGTTCAAAATGTATTTATTTATAATTATGATTTTTTCAGTTTATTATTTTAGTTTTTTTAGTTTTTGTTTTACGCACAGTTCTGTAAATAAAGGTAAAATAAATAAATAAATAAACAACATTGTATTGCTGTACCCTTTTCTTGCAGGATTTTCTTTTCCAGGTCATGTTTGTAGAGCTGGTTCTCAAACATTTCACCTGGTAAAATAAAGGTCAGTAAAGATCATGACATTTAATTAGAAAATTAGATTACTGCTTTAATGTAAGTAACAGGTACAGTATTACAATTTAATAATAACATTGCCATTTTAGATTGCACTGTATAACGTAACATAGCTTATCCTGATGCATGCTCAATAATCCAGGTAGAAAAATCCAAAAAAGTTCAATCTGGTCCTCTGGACATTCAAAAAAACAATGTTTTGTTTTTTGTTTTTTTGAATTTCCAGAGGACCAGATTGAACTTTTTTGGATAACATAGCTTATATTAAAGAAACACTTTTGTTGTAAAGTTCTCTTATTTGAGCACTTAATTGAACAACACTTACTTGTACATACGTACTTGTAGCTTTATTTCTCTAAAATCCAAAATTGCTTTTACAAATTTTAATTTTCAATTCATTTTATTTGTATAGCACCAAGTCACAAGAGGGCACTCTGTACAAAAACTTTCATATATGTAAAAAGTAAGTTAATATTATTTGTCTCAGGAGCCAGCAGACTGCTTTGAGTCTTAACTTCGCCGCAGTCTCTAATTTAACTAGATCTATGGACACAAAATTTATTTTAAATTTTCCAAAGTATTTGGTTTGTCTTTACATATATGCCCACCTTCAGACCAGTCAAATAGGTTGTGGGCGGGTCCAGGTTTGCTGTCTGTCATTATTTTGTCCAATCAGCTGTGGATTCTGTGTATCGCCACGCCTCCTTCCACGTCGACCTGCACTCTCGCCATATTCTCAACTCCGTATCCGGCAGACCTGTGAACCCCCACTAAGTTACCAAGACAGGTTTTACAAGGCAGCAGAAAGTGTGCACAGACTGATTCGGGATTAAACGGAAAAGTGAGATTTTCGTCGTGATCCTAGCGGTGTGTGTTTATTCATCCTGCAGAAATGAACGTCTTCAGACTCACGGGGGACCTATCTCATCTCGCTGCCATCATCATCCTACTCCTTAAAATATGGAAAAGCAGGTCGTGTGCAGGTGAGCACAAGCTTTAGTTGTATTAGTTAGGACACGGTTTAGGTTTTATTTACGTTAGCAAATGACTACCTTTTATCAGTTACTATATTGATGTTTGTTTCTTAGTAGGCCAGCTAGCTTGACAAGCTAACGTGTCTTTTCATTCATTTGAGCCATTCACTGACAGAACACGCAGTGAACTTTAGCAATGTGGTCTGTTCTGGTTCTCTTTGATAGAAGATAAATTCCCAGATGACTAGGTTTATCTAATGAGTTTGTAAAGTAGCTTAGTGTAACCGGTTCCTTTGCTCATCATTCCTACACACTGTCTGCTCCGTTAACTTTAAGTATCGTGGATTGATTTTTTTGGTCTGGCTTCTGACGTGGCGTTGTGAACGCTGCTACGGAAGTAGCCGAAGTTCTAGAAATGACTATAAAATAACCAAATCTTAACTATTCAGTGAGTTTTTATTCATCTTTAATACTGATAAACTGAAATGTTTCGTTAAAATAATACTGTCCGGGAGCCTTAACAAGTTGGAGCAGGTTTTGGATCCTGAAATTACCCAAAATCTGGAAAAAAAATTGTTTCGTTTAACTGAGATTAAAAAATATATATATTCTTTAAGTATAATACGCATTGTTATATTTCATAAATGTTATATGTATGCATAAAGAACTAACATGTCAAGTTGACAGGTTACTTGCTAAATGTATGAATATTAACCGAGACATTTTATTGATATTCATGGGAAGAGAAACCTTCATGCACAAGAAAACTATTTTATAACAATTTAATGTGCTTACAAAAATATATAGTTGGGAGATTTTTGTAAATTTAAACAGCTTTTAATTTTTTGGATATTTGCAAAAAAACTGGACTATTAGTTTCACATGTAAAAGAGTCCAAGCTAAGGGTCTGTCATTTACTAATGCATACATTTATTTGCTAGTACAAAAAAAAGTACATTTAGCTACTAATGTCTAATTTCAATGGTTATAGAGTATAATTTAGTTGGTAGATTGTTGTGTAATTATTTTAAGCAATATATATCTAGTTTTATGAATCATCTTTTTTCTTTTTCAATTTTATCTCAAGTCAGGGGAAAAAATGAAATTGAAATTGATGCCAAAGTCATCCATTTGTGAAACTTCAAACACTGTTAAATATAATAAATGGCATATAATAGATAGGATTCATCCTCTTCCTACCTCAGGTTTCATTTTGTAACGTCCAACATACCAGTTTCTTTAAACTAAACGCTTCATCACTGAGCTCAACAACACTCCAGTATTAATGCAGCAGCTCCTTCTGAGTTTTCACTGCATCTTTTTAAGACGCATATTTATAATGAGGGAGAAACCAAAGCTCTGTTTTGCTATCAATATAATAAAATCTATGGAGGAGTGGAACATCACATTGTTGTAAAAAGACAATCGCAAACATGTGAGACAACTTTACCTCCACCTCTTCTGGCTTCGTCTGCACCTCACTCGCCTCTTGGCCTTCGGTTTCAACACAGCTAAAGGCCGAACGATCACTGCTGTCTTCTACCAGCTAAAGATGAGGAGCCGAGCCAACCTGATCTGCTTTTCCTTAAAGTACAAGAAAAACTGTTGCACAAAGAGAAACACACCACTGATGTGCTTTATCCAAAAGTGACCTGATTTCAACCCAGGATTGTTGGTTTCCAGCTGTAGATTCTCGAGTGCAAACCACAACTTCAGGTGAAGTTTGTGGTTTTTAGGTCAAAACAAAACTGCAAAACTCTTTTTTTTTTTTAAATTCATTCAACCTTTATTTATACAGGTTAGTCTCGTTGATCCTCGAGGACTCATTTACAAGAGAGACCTGTTCTTAACAAAGAATGATGACAACAGTTTCTGTTTCTTGATCAAAGATGTAAAAAAAAAAAAAAAACCCTCTTGACATATGTTTAAATATCTGGTCGTAATAAATCTGTGAGGAAAGTTGTGTAGCCATGTTGATCTCTGCCCGGAACCTGAATAATGTAGTTAGATTAATGAACAACTTCAGACACAATCACGTACCCAGATCTGACTTTTTCACATTAATCTTTCATTTCAAAGACAAATATTATTTCCATTCATGCTGTTTGTCAGAGTTTTTCCCTTTTCTGTATTTTTTTTCCCCACTTTGTAATAAAGATGAGTTTGTTTATTTTTTTTAACAAAAGAGATGTAAAGTTTGGTGTTGGAGTCTTAACACGCATTGCTCATTTTTCCTTCAAGTCCAGTAGATGTCACTGCACTTTAAGGAATTATCTGGACTGTATTGCTGTTCTGAGGTTACAGACCCTCAGCTTGATCTGTGCACATGCTCCCATTTGTTTATTTTTGTTTCAGGTATCTCTGGAAAGAGCCAGATTCTGTTTGCCCTCGTGTTTACGACACGTTACCTGGATCTGCTCACCTCTTTCATCTCTCTGTATAACTCGAGCATGAAGGTAAGACTTTTCCCATTCAAACAGGCACTTTGTATTCTTTTAGTTTGAACCCTTCTGTCTCTTTAACCAGGTGATCTACATCAGCTGTTTGTACGCCACAGTATACCTGATTTACATGAAATTCAGGGCTACCTACGATGGAAACCACGATAGTTTCAGGGTGGAGTTCCTGATCGTTCCTGTCGGGGGTCTTGCTGTTCTCATCAACCATGACTTCTCCCCCTTGGAGGTAACTTCAGCTTGCTGCCTTGTTTTATGGACAACTGGCCCTCTATGATGGTCTTCTCAATAAAACAAACTTGTCTGTCTTCAGATCCTTTGGACGTTCTCCATCTACCTGGAGTCTGTGGCGATCCTTCCCCAGCTCTTCATGATCAGCAAGACCGGGGAGGCTGAGACCATCACCACCCACTACCTGTTCTGCTTGGGCCTGTATCGGGCCCTCTATCTTTTCAACTGGATCTGGCGTTACTACTTTGAGGGATTCTTTGATATGATCGCCATTGTGGCGGGTGTAGTCCAGACTATCCTCTACTGTGACTTCTTCTACCTTTATGTTACTAAAGGTGGGTTTCCTTCACGTCCACTCTGGACACTGATGTCGAATTAAACGGACCCATTTAATACACAAACTGTGATATTTCTGCAGCTTTATGTAAACCCCTGTGTTTTTATTGTCCCTTTAATCAGAATCCACATGACCTTTCACACTTCATTCATTGGCGTCATCAGTGGGCTCCTTTCCTAGATTACCACTGGCGTAAAAGTTGTTTTTCCTTGAAAAACCTCACTGCAAAGTTCAGCCTTAGCTGATCAGAGGGTTCTGTTGTGCAAAATTCTTAAACGAAGTAACTATTTTCCAAAGTTACGGTTTTTAGAGGCCAGATTCGCTGCAGTGCTCTCCCTGTATAATAACTCAAAAGGATGTGTAGCTCCAGTCAGAGAAAACGCAGTGCTGGTTTTAAAACCAGTGGCGTTGAAAATGCCTTTTGAATTACTTGCTCCTCATGCTTTTTAAGTTGATTTGAAAGAATTTGCTTGTAGGGAAAAGCACTTTATCTCTTATTATAGTCTGGTTTTTCAGCATCAAATGCAGACCTCTCATTACAACACAATGAAAATTTTGTTTTTCTTCTTTCTCCTTTTTTTTTTGTTTTTTTTAGTCGTGTTTGTTTTATTTAGCTTTAGTGTTTCCTTTTCTATGGTATAAGAACAGATATGCAGGGCTTGTTACTATTTGAAGCCCATTTTCTCCTAAAGCCGAGAAACAAACGCGAGTTTTGGAAACAGTGTTGATGTAGAAGGAAGTGATTTTGTACATGTTGACCACGAGCAGATCCACTCATGTTTTCTTGCCATGACCGTCTGACTTCTCACCCTGCAGTGTTGAAAGGCAAGAAGCTGAGCCTGCCAGCGTAACGACCAGCAGGAGACGGCGACTCCCAGCAGCCTCAGGGGGTGCAGAGAGGACTTAATGGATTCTCGTGACCTATAGAAACGGATGCCTGGAACAGAGAGTCAACTATCATGGGGGGGAAACACTAGTTATCTTGATGATTGCAGATGGAACTGGTAAAAACCAACAAAACACCAGAGCTGAACAAAGATCATTACAGATCAACTTTTGGATTTCTGTGTTCAGCATCTTGCCTTAAACTTGTTTTCATTGCTGTTCAAAATAGGATTTATTTTAAACGTGTGAGGTGTATTTCCTTTTTTTTCCTTTCAATTTGTTTTACTTTTTATATAATGTCACAAAACTAGATTCTGAAAAGTACCTTGTTTGACTTGGTGAGAAATGCACAAAATAAAATGTCCTATTAAAGAATGAGATGAACAGATCCGAGTGCCTGATGAGGTTTACGTCCACTTTCACTGTTTTTTATTGCTTTTTTATTTTTTTCCTCACATTTGTTCAGTTAATTGTACAAACCATGTTTAAAGGGGCCAACATCACAAGATGCTCTTTGTACTAATTTTGCTTTCTTAAAAACTAAACGTTCTTGCCAAAAATATATTTTTGAAGAGGAAATCATGAGGAGATTTTGGATTGACAATTTAGACATGATCCTTTTAATAATAAGTAATCATTGATGCATCCATATTTTTAAACCATGTCTTGTTAGGAACTCAAACTTAACATGCGTTCACTGTTTTTATTTTTCCTGTTTTTATTTTTGTTGTATATTAAAAACATAAAACTGTTATAGATCTCAGAGAAGCTTAAAAAACCTTTCATTGTCACGTGTTTGGTATCGATAAACTCAGGCTTCGTTTCGGCTGTTTTTGCACTCCGGGAACTAACTCGACATCTTTCAGCAGTTTGATCAAACCTGACACGGATGTTTTACTAGAAACAAAATCCTCCAAAAAGTTTGTAAATTTGTATCATTTATTAGTTTCATCTGTCCGTCTGACGTGAGTTTCAGCAGGTTTATCATCGGAGTCGGTGAGACTCGATGGGGGTTTCTATTAATTGTAAATGGCCTCACACTTTTTCAATTAAGGCATTCCTAAGATTATTTCAAAAATACTTTTTTTCTCTTTTTTTTTTTTTTTTGCATGTTATCACCTCCATTAAAGATTTTATGATAATGACCCATTTGTTGTCTGATTTTTTTTTTTTTCTTTTTAATTATCTAAATTAACTGTTTATGGCTATGGAGCAAATCTAATGTTCATTTGACACCTGAAGAAGTTAGAAACCAATTCATTTACTATTTATCACCCCAAAGTGAATGGGTGATAATGTTTTCGCCTGTGTTAAAATATCAACCACTGGTACACATCAACTAACATTTGGTGTCAGTTCAATTCAAGATGGCCGCCACAGCCAACAGAAAAATGGTTACAACTCCATCATATTTACAGATCTTAAGCTAAAGTTTGATGCAGCTGAAAGTCATTGTCACCATGTTTAACGCTGCGGTCTGAAAGGCAGCGGGCGATATGCATTCCTTCAAGGTTTGCCTTCATCAGTCAATAGAAACTGCAACTTGGACTGAAAACAAACCAGAACAACAAAAACCAGTCCAAATCTCCAGAATCAACACATTCCTGCAGCCGTTGAAGTAGAAACTTACAGAACGAGATCATCGGCACCAACAGGCCTACAGGATCACAGACACTGACTGGAAGTAGGGATTCTCCCCCCCATTTAAATCACTTCAAAACACTTTGACAGGTCCAAAAGGAAGGATTAAAAACTGTCAAATGTTTAATTCAGAAGATTTACCCTTGAATATTAACAAACATCTACAGGATCTATGGGGGGAGGTCAGATGTTGATACTGAAGATGTATTTATGTTCTGATTTCAGCTCAGTGAAGCAAGATAAAGGAAAAAGTTTTAAAATATCCAAACTATCTGAAATCACACAGGGCTAACAGAGCCTTTAACACAAAAATACACTGAAATGCAATGATCTGCTGGATTTCAGTTCACAAGAGTTGTTGAATAAAATCACTAAACAATGTTAATTCAGCTAAAAATTGTTACAAATTTATAAAACTGTTACCAGTTGAAGTTTTGGCAAATATTAAGCATATTAAAGCAAACTGAAATATGTGATCCATCAAAAATACAGTTGGAGAGCTCAACTAATCGGGATCAAATACACCAGAATCTCAGTTTTTATTTGGTACTTGAAACAAGGAGTTAGTTCAAAATGTGGCAAACATACAGAAAATACAAAAATCAAAGTAGAACATCAGACCATCACGACAGGTAGAATCAGCTTTATATATTCATGTAAAATAATTATCTCGTTTTCTGCTGGAAAAAGTTGAGTTTTGCACCGAATTGATAATAAAGCACATTAGAAAAACACTTTCAAATTGGCCGATTGACATTTTTTTGTAAGGTCTCAGATTACAATCCACTAAATTAACAAAACCTTTTATTCATATTTTCTAATTAGCAACAACAAAAGACATCTGAACTTATTTTTTTTTTTAAAGAAGCTTATCCTTTAACCCGAGGAGTTCTCTAAACAAGCAGAAAAATGTGCCGTTCTGAGCTTTGAAACTTTCCCTTCCTGTTGAGGGTCATTTGAGTTTTTGTCGGTACTCTTGAGAAATGTTTTGGTCGCATGCATGAAGATGCAAATTAGAGTGAAACAGAGTGGATTAGTTGCAAAACTCCTCAGTTCCTTAGTGTGGTCTTTTATCCAGCACTTTGCTGTGGGTGTTTAAAGTGCTCTATAAACAAAGCTGGTGTGGTATGGTATGATATCCCTCCTATGAATTACAGTATGTACCGTCTGTTACTTTGTGTACATTTGTCAGAGCATGTCTGCTTATTCCAGGAGGGCAAAATATATCAAAGAAGTCCTAGCTACTTCTTAAGTAGATTTATTTTGCATTGGAGAAGTTTAAATACATGCATACATGGATCTTCCTCTGTTCAGGAGGCCGCAGTCCACATGTGTAATTCACAGTGAGTTGCTGCTGCCATCCATCCAGAAGATGACAAACTCATCCTTTACACAGAGTCATATTGAGAATGTTCAACATCTGATTGGTCTAAACATTTGGGGAGGTCCTTCAGGCCTCCCTTATTGACTTTTCAGGATGGACAGTCCTGGACACCATCCAATCCGGCCGTGACAGCATCTTGTTGGAGACACCCAGACAACATATTTCTGCCGGATGATTACCTTATATGGTAAGAGGAAGCTTTTTTTTTTTTTTTTACAGCTTGTGCATGTGAGTTTCCCTGTTTGACTACTGCCTTGAATCATCTGTGTTGATCAAAACTAGGCCAGTGAGTCAGCTTCAGTGTATCTATCAATCAAAAGCAACACCAACAGGAACTGAGACAACAGGAAAGCAAGTAGGAAAAATGAAAACCATGTAGTCATATGTCTTAGAGTGGTAATTTATTATGGTTTTACTTCATTTAATATAAAGACTGGACAGTAAGTGTATGTATGGTTTAGTTTGGCCACGTCTCCTGCAGAATGGCAGCAACGTTACATAGAAAACACCTAAAGGAAGAAATCAGAAGAGAGGGTTGGGAGAGGAAAAAGTGAAAGTCGACAACACAACGAAAATTAAAATAGCAGCAGAGATCATTCCTTTAATACAAAAAATGTCCAACAAGCAGATAACTTGAGCCTGGAGCAAAGCTCAGTCCAAGTCCTTTAAATAATGTCAAAGGTTGAAAAATGTATCTGGCATCATTTATTTATTAACCTTTATTTAACCAGGCAAATCCCGTTGAGATCGCATCTCTTTTGCAAGGGGGCCTGAAGGCAGACCCCACATGTATGTTTTTTGTCTGTGGGAGGAAACCGGAGCACCTGGAGAAAATCCACGCAAGCACGAGAAGAACATGCAAACTCCACACAGAAAGACCCCAGGTCCAACAGGGGATTGAACCCAGGACCTTCTTGCTGTGAGGCAACAGTGCTAACCACTGAGTCATCGTGCTGCCATATACAGTATGTTGGATTAAAAAAAAAAAGTCAGCTCTGAGACTTGCCATGAAAATAAGCAAATAAATCTATTCTTGTAGCCTAAAAAAAAAAAGATGAGTTTTATAAAGCAAGTAGGAAAAATGAAAACCATGCAGTCATATAATGTGTAGTTTTTAATGTTATCTTAATTAAAAAACACTCAAAGGCACATTTGTGTTGTTACAAGAAAATAAACTTCAACGTTAAATAATTGAACTGAGGCAAAAAATGTAGTTAAAAATACTTAAAAAACACAAAAAATTAGTAATTTCACTTTAAAACATGAACATGTAAAAACGCATTAGTTAAATTAGGTTAAGGACATTTTAACTACAACTAATACAATAAGTGGGGTGAAACATTTTGACCCATGTAACAGTAATCCAAATTATTAAAGCATGCTAATTCAAGATTGAGCAAAAACAATTTTCTGACAGCTTAGTCAGACGAAACGATAAAATCATCATCTTGGCATAAATACATAAAAAAATACTGCACAACATACAGACAATAAAAGCTCAGCTCATACTGAAACTGCACAAACATTTGAGAGTTTTTGTGCTTAATAAATCTGTTACGACGACAGATCTCTCAAAGAACCACATTCACATCTGATCTTCAGATCCCGGCAGCTTCTCTGACGTCAACTCAAAAACTCGTATCAAAGGACGGAGGAATTCACTGCGCCTCCTCTGGTGTTGCGGTTTCATCCCCTCTCTGCTTCTCCTGGTTTTAGGAGGGAAAAAAAAACCGAACAGAATCAGAGAACGTGTAAATAAAATCAGATGACTGCTGTCAAGAGTGGTCTGCGTGCACCACCTTCGTTTGGTGTGGACGCTTCAGCAAGTTAGGGATGGCAAAAAGCAACGCGTTCACGACGACCGAGACCAGCAGAGAGAAGAGGGCGATGCCAGCGAGCACAGACAGCAGCGTCACCCCTCCAACAAACAGCAGGAACACTAAAAGACAAAAACAGACATGCAGTTAAAAATAAAATCACTACGCAGAAGTGGAGTTTGACTTGAGTTTTACCTACCCTCGAAGAAAACAAATCCTACTACCGATATAACAACAGTTACGATGGCGAACATGAGGAAGAGGCCAACAGGCAGAGCAGCCATGGCGCTGAACAGCAGCACGGTGAGAGCTAAGAAAGGACGGGCGCTGAGGTACTGCCCGAACCGCGTCCTCATCAGCTGCGCTACCTGTTAGCGAAACGACCCATCACAGCTGGTTGGACACAGGATCACCTGACCAAAGGTGAACGCAGTAACAATTCAAAAACACGTGAAAAACATATTTGTCTACCTTGGGATCATCTTGAAGGTGGTTCAAGAAGGTCAGCCATCTTTCCCACAGCTGCTGGGCAAACCTGCTGACGCGCTGCATCTCACCACACCTGAGGAAAACAGAATCAGTCCAACTCAACCTGGTTTTACACATTAGAGTCTGTGCACTCTCCTAAAACAGCACCTAAATGGATGAAGATATTCAACTAGATGGACCAAATTTAAATGATTTTGGCTTTTTGCAGACAAGGAGAGTATAAGATGGCACTCATCTCTTGAGACCAATAAGATTTCAAACATTTTTTTTAAGCTTACAAGACAAGAAACAATTTATTTAAATATTGTGCCAAATTCTACTGAACATTTCTGTTTTCTTAATAAAAAAAAATTAGTTGCAATAATATATTCACTATAAACATAAATAAAAATAAAATAAGACCTTTGTGCTTTAACAATATTCTCAAATCTAACCGATTTCCACATGGATTGTGTTGGTTTTTCCTTTAAATTACCAAATTAATATTTAGCAGTGCTATTTCTTGATGGGCCAGTTGTCATGGCAATTCGAGCTTTTTAGAGTTTTATGTCTAAATTATGGCAAAGTAGTAATAATTAAAAACAGTTTATTTATAACCAATAATAAAGTGATAGGTTAAATTAACACCACTGTAAACTTATCTACCTTTACATTTCATTTCACCTAAAAAGCTGCAAACCAAAATTCACAGCCTGATGGCTAACCTGGCTTTTCAAATGCATAAACATGAACTCTTCAGACTCCCAAACATAAACACACCTACGTGGAACAGGTACGTGTTCTGATCCACGTCCAGGAATCAACCAATCACCACGACAGCTTTAATTACAGCCAACCTAAACTTCACATTCCTCAAGTTTAGCGGGCGATACATACCTGATTAAAACCCTACCGGTCCACTTCGTGTGAGTGTCAGCAGACATGTGCAACCAAACACTGAAGCAGTCTGAAACGTTTAATACACGCCATACTGGAGGAGAAGCACACCCTTCTTAAAGAAAACACGCCTCTTTCTTTGTTTCGTCCCTCTTATTCCACGTCGCGCCTCTGGTTGTGAACTCTACTGCTGCCACCTAGTGGTTTGTTCAGGTACTGCAACCGAGCGCTTTAAATTATTTATAAATGACTGCAGACAGACGATATATTGTTAAAAATATACATAGGATTCAATTCAGTTCAGTATTTATGTAGTGCCAAGTCACAGGATGAGACAGTTAAAAATAAAATTAAAACAATTAAGGCTACATTAATATAAACCGTCCAGTTTTCAACATTTTTTTAAGCAGATTTTAAAAAAAGAGGCTCACATACAAAATATTAAAAATACGAAAGGGATGTTTTTTGAATAAATCAATTTGTATTTTCCTTTGCATCTAGGTGCTTAAATCTTACATCACATGACCTTTTGCCCCAGCCACACATTATATTGATGTTTATATACTTGAGTTCATGTCAGTTAAATCATGTGACTTTAAATATATTTGGCTTTAGATAATGTTCACATCTCAGTATTTCACTTTACAGTGTGATTTTAGATCTGTTTAATTTGATTTGAATAAAAATTGCTTTTTTTTTTTTTTTTTAATTCCAACAGCGTACATACAGTATTTAAAGAAAATTAAGGTGGTTGCCAAGACATCATAACTAAAGCACAGCCTGTGATAAGCCCACACATTTCACATGGATGAATGTTGCCATCATTTCAACATTTGTTGTTGAGAGGTTGAGAGTATTTTCTGAGAGTAGATTTTGAGTTTACAGGAGCTGAGAGTCTTTTGGACACCTTCAGAAATGGCCACTCCAAAGAAAGCAAAGAAATAGAGGAGAAAGTCCTTCGGTTTTGAAAAATATAATATTCACTGGTCATCTATCTAGATAACACATTGAACAATTTGTTGATAAGGGCTGTTACTGCAAAGTGGCCAAGTGTACCAAACTGGACTTGAACGAGACTGTGGCTGTGAAAATTTTCCTGAAACATCTTTTCAGCGATGGCAGACACGAGGTCAAGATGCTGAATAGACTCAGACAGCTGGACCATGAGAAGAACAACTTGGTAAAGTTCATTGCGCACTTCAAATACAAAGGTCACTGCTGCATAGCCTTTGAAATGCTTGAGATGAGCATCTCCACATTCATGGCAAAGAGGAATTTGGCTCCACTCAACCTGTCTGAGATTAGAATCATTTCTCAGCAGATGCTTATTTCTCTAAAAGCTTTGAAAAGCATTGGCTTAGTTCATTGCGACATTAAGCCTGATAATACTGTTGGTGGACCATAAGAAGCACCTGTTCAAGGTGAAGCTGATAGATTTAGGCTTGGCCACCAAAACTTCCAAACTGAGGTTTCCAACCATTGTTCAGGCCGTTGGCTACAGAGCTCCTGAAGTCGTTCAGAGACTTCCTTTAAATGAAAAAATAGACATGTGGTCTCTGGTTTGCTGTTTGTCCTACTTGTACCTTGGCACTCACCTCTATCCTATACACTGTGAATACGAGGCCATGAAGGCTATCCTACTTGAATGGTCAGCCTCAAGATAACTCACTGAAACAAGGAGCTGAGACATTTAACATTTTTACTCAAGTCAAGGCCTCTGACCGTATGGTCAGGCTGAATACAACAGAGGAGTACACCAACGCAACAAGGAATCCTACGACCCACCATGATGACATTCACAAACGTTTAGGGACGCTTGACAACCTGCCAAAGACCCGCCAGATATCCACAGATGCCATGGAGCTTGAGGATACTCAAGCGCTTGTTAGTCTGATCAAACAGATGCTGGCGATGGATCAAACCCAGCGGATCAGGCCCGAAGAAGCTCTCAACCATAGTTTAATTACCATGAAACATTTATCTAGTGACTGGGATAGGCCTTGTGTAGAATCAGCATTCAAGACGTTAACAGCGTGCCACCTGAACAACGTTCACGTGGAGCGAAGACGTTAGGAGGGACACGCTTCAAACATCAAAAGCTGAAGGTTCAGCCGTCACAGCTGATCCTGAGAATAAAGCTGAGTCATCAGAAAACGGCAAAGGTAAGATTTTAGCTTTTGAAAATCATGAGAAAATCTTAAGCTTCAAACATTTGAAAGATAATCTGGTCATTTTTGAAGTGATGTTCTGCCAAATAAATATCAGTAGTTAGTAACTTAACAGAGGTGACATTGTAAATGAAGACTTCTGTCATTTACTCTACATTTTGTACTCACTCACCGATGTCACACTTCATAAAATGCTAACTATTGATAACTATTTGACAAAATATCTCTTAAAAAATAGGACCAGAGTATCACATTAACGTGACTTTGTGCAACAAAAGTGAAACCCTTTCATCTAAAATCAGGATGCAGAGTTGTGAAAGAGTCTGAGATGGTGTCTGCTGGACAAATCCCCAAAAATGAAAACCATGGAAGGACCTTTATCAAAGTAGAGCCCTGCTGTTCTGCTGACGAGGAGACTGAAGAATCAGCTGATACATCTGCAGAAGACAACGAAGAGACATCACCTGGAACAAATGAAGGTAAGATAATGAAAATCATGAAAAATTTCTACTTGGGGGCAAAAATGTGAAATCTTCTCATCTAAACTCAGGATCCGAAGAGTCTGAGATAAAGTCAAAACATGAAGAGTGGAAAGGACGGACCATTATCAAAGCACAGCCCGGTTGTTCTGATGATGGGGAGACTGAGGCCCAGCTGCAGCTGACAACAGAAACTTTGAGAACGTCTCTGCTGCAAAGACTCGAGCCCCTGCCTTCAAAAACGTGGATCCTTCTGGTCTCGTTGAAGTGAAATCGTGCAAGACACTGTTCATGAGGATCTGCAAATTCTTCTCTGGGTTGTTCAAATGCTGCAGAGGAAACGAGTGAACGAGGACGCAAAACAAAAACGCTGTGAAGGCGCCAAGTCTTCAAACTGTTTCAAACCGTTGAAGAACTTTCAACTCGTTTAAATAAAAGTGTAAAAATAATATTACTGGTCTTCAAATGTTTCTGTTTGTCTGGACCGTCCAGATTCACAATGATTCATGTGTAAATTGTCATGAAACTCTAAAGATAGCAGTCACAAATAGTAACTATTAGAAAATCAAATGAACTGTTTTCATTGGCTGGTGTACTTTGATACAGTAAGTGTTGAGTAGATTGCCAGTACATAAATATGAAAGAAGCAAGACCATTTCAAACGTTAAAAATAAAGCAGCAAAATCTTTAAATCAACGTGGAAACAAACATGAAGCCAGCAGAGAGGAGCCAGGAATGGAGTGATGTGTTCACCTGTTAAAAGACGAGGTGCTGCATTTTGAACAGTTTGCAAGTGACACAAAAATGATTTATTTAAACTAACATACAGAACATTACAGTGCCACAAGTGAAGGATATTAAAAGCATGAATGACATTTTCCAAAACTTTGATGGGAACAAATGACTCAAATGAATGTAATCATTTGTCATGTACTAACAAACCTACCAGCTGAAACAAAAAGCAATAGAAAATTTATTAAACTTAAAATTTCACTGGAGAACATATTTTTCTATTAGTTCATGTATAGCACTGGTCTGTGATGCCAAAGTGGTTGGTGACTGCTGATTCAATAAGTGTTCAGTTAGTGTTTAATGCTGTCTAACTTAGTAAACTGCAGCCGTGGTAGTAGCTGGATATCATCAGCCAAGCAATGACAAAAACATTATCTAAAAAATCTAAACTTAGACAGTGTGCCTATCTCACTTCTCTTTGGTACATTTGCACTCAGTTTATAGGGATATTCTGCAGTCTTAAATGAAAAATTGTCTAATTCTCCACAAAAAGAACAGATATATTGTCTGAATAAATTTGGAAAGACAAACTAAAACAAAAAATTTATTTTTCACAATATTTTTCATAGACAGTTAAAGTTTTTTTTGACTGACATGTAAAATACCCATGGAGTACTTTAAAGATGTAGATGTGTGTGATGTCATCGTTATATACCTCCCTCTTGTGGCCATTGTTTGAAATTACAACACTACATAAATAAACTTTTCACATTTACATCTAACTCTTCTGCAGTTCTGAGCAAATGATGATAAATAAAGAAAGAAACATAAATAAAGCAATAAATAAGTAAAAATGTGGTGCATTAAGAACTTGTGAAGGATGTCAAAGCAACTAATGCCCAAAATGTCAACATAACTTTACAAGAGTCTAATCTAATGAACAAACAACATTCATTCTGATGTAAGACTTGTAGAGAAAATGTAAAGAGTACAAAAAAATATTAAAGCTGCTGCCAAATGACTCATTACAGTTTTCATGATAACCAACCACACAGTCGATCCCTGACAGGGAATGATAAATAGAAAGAAATGGACCAGAAAGATAGATTTAAACAATCTGCAAGTCACATCTTGAACATTTTTATACCAGAAGACTCTGATGGTCACAACATGTGAATCCTTGTATGTTTCTGCTGCGTTTAGACATGTGACGAGTTAAAAGATTCTTGAAGAACTAAATTGAAGTCAATGGGAGCTTTGGTGTACACTCTCTGCATTCTGGAGATATTTAAAATCAAGTATTTTGCAGCGGGAGACACTGTGGGAACAAAAGACAAAAACATGTACGGTATCAAAAAGATTTGTGGGAATAAGAGTTTGTTCAGAAGTTTGAACATTTCAAATTTTAAAACGTGGCATCATCAGCTCAAGACAACATTTGAGGAACAACTGTTAAAAATCGTAAAAATTAAAAAGGGGGTTTGTAAAAAAACATAAATTATATTAGAAAGTCAGTTCAGACATATAAAGTCTGACAATCTAAACTTTGAATGACCACTCTTCAGTATACGTCAGAGCTCCAAACAGGGTTTTCTCATGTGAAGCACAACACTTTCTTTACTTGATGATTTTTTTTTTCCTCTGCAAATTTTGCTTTTATTCTACGGCGTTCCACTAACAAAAGTCATATCTGTTCACTACTAATTTGCACAATTTCCTCTGTTTATTTCAAAGCTTATTTCAAGACAAAATACAGAACAAAGTCCTTCAATGATTAAAAAAAAATAAAAATACTTAAGGC